TGGACCCAGTGGAAGATAATCTGGTAATAAGCACTTTCATGTGCAACATAGGGCATTACCAACAAAAGTCACCTGATGTTTAATCATTGAATAAGTGAATGGAGGTAGTGGGCAAATGTAGTGACAAACCAAGAGTATTACTTTATCGTGTTTTTATCTATCTACTTTTACTTTTGCTTCTATATAGCATCTTGAACATAACAGATGTTCAATGTTTACTGAAATACTTGTTTAAGATACATTATGTTCTCTTAAAAATAGCAGTCAGGTAAAGACACTGGAAAATATATTGTTTATCATTAGTTTTCTTAAAAGATCTTTTGGGAATTATTTGCTACAAAGGAGTTGATGCTGCTCATGATGCAGAGAACGTTGATATTTATTTACATAAATTTTGGACTTTAGCATATGTTGGTTTTGGTCATTTTTTAATCTCTGTAAATTTGGGCAAGTCAGGTAACCAATCTGAAACTCAAATTCACCTTCTATAAAATAGTGGCATGAAGATGAATTTCACAGATTAGTTATATTAAAAGAAAATGCTATAGAATCAATCCAGATTATATACCTTGCTTACAATAAATAATATTGTTCCTTTCCACCCCCTTCCAGCAATGGCTTTTAATTTTCTCAACGATGAAATCTAACTAAGATACATGATGTCTTTATTTTGTTCACACAAAAATAAAGTTAATACTTATTCATAGTTTAATAGGCACAATGTCATACAAAGTGCTTTGCAAGGCATGTCAGGAGTATTTTGTATTACTGGTGTTTTGGACATCTGCTGGTCTTCTTTTGGGAAACTACACTTCTCTTACTCTGTAAGGTTATTAGTTTTTATAATTTCTTTTTTAAAAGATTTATTTATGCATACAAGAACTGGGGTGCAGGCCAGAGGTGTGGGGAGTGAGAGGATTCACCAGAGACAGAGTGGGGAACAAAACAGGCAGACTGACTGAAATACACTGCTGAGGGGAGCAGCGGGTGAATCAGGAGAGGTCTGTTGCGCCATGTGGGTAGCTCCCTGTCTGAGGATCCAACTTGTGCTGTAGTGGCTGCGGATAGCTTCATAGGTTGCATCTTAATCCCTTGTGCCACAAGGGAGGCCCAGTTTTTACAGTTCTGCAGTATCCCACTCTCCTGTATCCTAACCACAGACGTAGGCATATTTCCAAAATGGGGTCCTCTAGGATTTGTAAATGCAACTGCGGTGGAGTTTGTCCTTCCCTGGGGAAGGGAGAATCCTTAATCCTGGGCTTGGTGGACACTCATGGCTTTATTTTAAAGTAAACAATAAGCAACAATAATAATAATGAAAAAAAACAAACACACAGAAACGAGCCCCAATCACTCCTGCTTGTCCCACATATGGCAGTGTGGATCAACAAAATCTCTCGTTTTGACTAAACAAGAGTTTGATTTTCACATTTGCCACTAACGTCAAATATGAGCAGTGAGTAATCTGGCAATACCTGTATCCTGTTGCCATCTCCCTGCCCCGCCTCTAAGTTTTATCATTTAGGTCTGATTGCTGTGTAATTTATTGGCTTCTGTTTCTTTGTCATATGCTGTAACCTTAACCTTGGTCAGAGTTTGGCAAATGTTAGGGTTTTATGTGAGATTGGGTGTGGGGAAACCAGCTGTGGGAGGGTTTTATATGGGGAATGGAGGTAGGGAGACCAGCTGGGAGAGAGTTTTATATGGGAGTGGGGGTGGGGAGACCAGCTGGAAGAGGGGGTAGTCAATCTTTCAGCAAGCCCCCTGTAGCACCAGGAAGGGCACAGAACAGGATCTCTATGATTCTGGCAGATGGGTAAAGGAGAGTCCTGGAGCCCTCAGTGGTTTTCAGGCTTTTATTGAGTTTTTTTTACAAGGAAGGGGGTAGGGGGTCGGGAGGCTGGCAGGCCTCCCAGCCCCTGGGGAATCTTCACTTTTTCTGGGCTCTCTGGCATTCTCTCATGGTCTCTGCTTATCTGCTGGTTCTGCTCTCTTCTCGTTCTGTTTGCTTGATCTCCTCTCGTTCTGTTGCTCTTGTTCTTCTCATTCTCCTATTCTTCAGCTGGTGTTCCTGTAATGCTGCCCCTATAAGCCCAGTCTCTCAGCCCAGGTGTGCCCACCTATGCATGCCCAAACCCTACTCCAGGTGTCTGCCATTAGGCGTGCGTGTAGGGCCCCAGGGATCCATCATTAATGCTAATGGCAGGAGAGTGGAAAAACCTGATAATTTTTCACTTACCCTACACCCCCCTAAACATAAATGCTTAAGAATACATGCTTTGTTCTCAAAGAACCACCTCCAGCCCAGTCAGTGAAGGCTCCACCTCTATTCCCCTGCCCCATGTCCAGCAGTGAGTCAAAGCCACCTGGTAAATCTGCGATTCAACTATTGTTAAGTCCTCTGCACCAAATTCCTGGAATCTGAGTGGTCAAAGGTACCAAACTATATAGCTTCTTAGATCTATTAACATGCTAAATGGAGGGGAATTCTATTTCACATTTTTGGTCATTTCTTTGATATTATAAAGCTGCCATGAACATCTTAGCATGCAAGACATAAATGCTATATTTCAGGGAATATAAGGCATTGATAGAAAGTGTGTTGAAGGATTTACACCAAGGCAATCAATAATCCAGGTTCTTGACCCCATTTTTTGTCATCGTAAACGTTTATGTGTAGTTTAATTTGACATGCTCAAATCAGATGACAGCAAATTCATTTATCAGAGTGGAATCAGATATTAATATGCCCGATACTTGAAAAAAATTGTTTCTGTGTAGAAAGGAAATCTAGAAATATAAAGATTAGACACAACGGCTAGACTGTCCTTTTACTCAAATCCAAGTTGAGAGCTCCTCGTTATTTCTGGCAAGAGTCAATGCTCATTTATCTGCCAGTTTTCTCTCGTACAATCTAGATGTTCTGTTTATCAAACAACAAAATGCAAGCACAGTAGAGGGGCTTTGAGGGTGAAAATGTTAGTCATGATTCTCATTGGACATGCAAGCTATAAAGGAGTGAAATTGAGAAAACATTGTTAAAGAAAAGATTGAAATGTAATAAATATGAGTCACTTTGAACCCAGTCCCCTGTGTTTCCTTTTCCACCTATTGACCAGAAGTCAAGAACCTCAGTCCAGAGATGGGGCACGAGGAGACTTTTGACTCTTGCCTAGGTCACCTTATTATAATTGTGACTCTATTGCATTTGGCAGCCTTTTTACTTAACTTTTTTTTTAAAGATTTATTTATTGATCAAGAGCTGGGATACAGGCCAGAGGTGGGGGAGGGTGAGAGGATTCACCAGAGACAGAGCATGGAGCAGAATAGGCAGAAGGACCGAAAGCACTGCTGAGGGGAGCAGTGGGCGTGACAGGAGGGGTCTGCCACGCCATGTAGGCATCTCCCTGGCCGGCAGGGGATCGAACCCATGCTGCAGAGGCTGTGGACATCTTCACAGTGCTGTGTGCAACCCGTTGCGCCACCAGTGAGGCCCCATTTTTACTTAACTTTTGAAAACAAGTGAGATCAGAAAACTTGTTTGGATGGGATGATGAAGACAAGAAAATATTGATAACATGATTTTTATCATTCATTTTCAAACAACTCAATTTGAGACCAGCAGGAAGTATAATACCATGGAGATAAAAGTTCCATTTTGCCTTAACATTTTCTAAGACATAAATGTTGTGGGGTTTTCCATGTGGGTGGGAGAGGATGGAACAAAGGTGACCAGGAGCAAAGTATAGGGAATATAGTAAAGCAATAGTATGAAAAAATGTTTTGTTTTTTTTTTTCTATTTTTGAGAGCGGAATCTGATAAAAAAAGATTTCCTATCTTCGAAAGGGTGGAGTTTTATTTCTATCAATAACAGCTTCTACTTGGAAAACTCCCTCTGTGGCAACAGGAATGATAAAAGCATTTGAGAAGATTGTAACAGCAGCACAGATCCAAACTCAAATAAACTTTGATTCTTGTTCATTGGATTATAATGTGCTCTAACTGGACTCAGACATTTACATGGGAGATTGAGATTACCTTATCCAATGATTCTTAACTAGGGACAAGCAAAGAGCAAGGCAGCAGTAGACACATTCTCCTCTTACTGGAAATTGGCAATAGAATCCAATTCTCTTTCATTTTAGATGGAAAAAGCAGAGACCCAAGAGAATATGTCAAATGCCTGAGCATTCCTTGTCATGAGTGGCGAAATATGACTAGACTAAGAAAGGACTCCTCCCAAGACAGCATTTTTTCCACCTTAAATCTAGGATTCATCATGAAGGCTGCTAGAACTTTTTCCTCTCATCATCCCTGAGTTAAACTGGCTCCCAATCCTTAGTGTATCAGCTTCTAATCTCTTTCCTTGAATAGGATTCTGCCATGGTGGAACTGGAGTTATGTGTGAGACTACATGTAGAAACTACATGTAGATCTTCACCTGAGGGAACAACTCCAAATAACTGTGAGTCTTAGGCAAGGCCATAGGCCCCATCCAACTCAACAGCAGTGTGATGTACAATTAGTAATATCTTCCTGTATCAGGTAAGGGGAGTGTGTGCTTTCTGACTTTGGTCTCACCCTCAGCTCCAGAAAATCTATTTCTAGAGACAGGAGATCCAGAAACTGCAGAAATTTACCCCACACCCCACTGGATAATTTCACTCAAGTTCCTTCCATAGAGATAAAAGCCTGATATTTAAAGAGCTAGTATTGGAAGTCTAGTGCCTTTTTATAATCTGTAGTAGTCACTCCTCATTTCTGGGTAGTTCAGGTGCTCTGACAGGATGGAAATTAATATAGATAGTTGTGCTGTTTAGAGGTGGGCATTCCTATTGTTCCATCTAATCATATTACTTAGAAATATATTTATTTTAAGCAAGTTTATAGTGAGTATAATTTGAATTACCCAGGAAAATGGTGGTAGTGATAAAAAGGAGGGAAGATAAGGATATTCAGGTTGAATCTACATTTTAAATATTTATAATAATTTTTGAAGGAATTGTAGAAAGGAGTCCATAAAAACCCCAAGTAAAAAAAAGATGATAATATGCGAACATGTTCAGAACTGCACTACTTATGACAGTCCCAAGTGGAAAGCTTCTCAGGTGCCCATCAATAATGGAATGATGAGCTGTGATCTAGCCGCACAATAGAATATTAGTCAGCAATAAGGATGAGGAAGCTGCAATCAAAGGGAACAATGTAGATGAATCCCACAAATGCAATGCCAAATACATACTGATTGATTCTATTTACATAAAAGAGAAAAACCTGCAAAACTAATCTATGATCCTAGAAGTCAGGATAGTGGCTATGCTTGGAGGAGTGTAGCGAAGGTAGGGAGACAGGGCTCCATGGCACTCAGAAAGTTCTGTTTCTTCCAGGTGCCATGACAGGGCTGGGATCGTTTGGAAAACGTCCACTGAACTGTACCCTTATGCTTTGTGCAGTTTTTGTATATGTTATATTTCAATAACTTTTTTTTTTAAAAGGTAAACAATGGCATCTCCTTTCAAGTGACCGAAAACCAGCACTCCTTTTCTGGATAGAAATTCCTTCACTTTTATGTTTTGTTAGGAAAAACAATGGCTCGGGAGGTGCATCTCTTTTGTAAAATAGTAATCAACTAGTAAATTGAACTGAACTAGCCAATAAGACAGGAAAGGAGAAAACCAAAAAAACCTCAAAAGATGAATGCCCATCAGACCCCTTAGAGTCCCTCTCAGAACTCGATGTGAGTTAGCATTTCAGAAGCAGGTCCCTGGAGGCACTGAAATGCCCATTTCTTTTCAGAAATGCTCTTTCCAAAGCTAGACACTGGCAAAACAGGCTTAGTGAATAATGGACTCACAATTTCAATTTATTATCAAAATATTTCCATCAGATGACAAACTTGGAAAGATAAGGAGATGCAGAGCTACATAGATGCAGTGTTGCCCTGTGATCATAGCCACCGTCAAGGATGGATTTAATTCTGAAAATTCTGCTTGTAAACCATACGTCTTATGTAGCTTTAGACAACCGTCCGATAGCAATGTTTAATCCAAAGTTTGTGCTTCAAGCTTTTCATCAATATGATTTATAAGTTTAAAAAAATCTTAAATCTTCATCTGTACATCTCTTTACAGATCTTAGTTCATAACTATTTATCTCAGTCTGAAACTTCAGTATTCAATGATTACCTAGAATAACAATTACTTAGTCATAAATGTAGTTCATTAAATATAAAAATTGTTATTTATACATTACTACAAATTTTTTAAAAAGACCAAATTTTGAGAGAGAGAGAGAGAACAAGAAATTGCTTAAAAAATTGCAGGGAGCCTTAAGAATTTCAATATCAGTCAAAGCAGGTACAACAAGAAACAGTTTTAGACATTCATTTTAGCCCTAAGAGTGCTTAAAATAAAGTGATCTCAGAATGAATAACCGATGATTGCCAAAATGATTTTAAAACTACCTAAGTTCCAAGGCCCCAGTATGTATAAGAAATCTTTGGAAGAGTTTTGAAGGCGCATAAATGTTGCAAAAAAAAAAAAAAAAGTAAAACTAAGTACTTAGGCAAAGTGTTTCTAACTATTATGTCACCCTGTCTTTTTGGTACCAACTGTATTCTTCAACCCCTCCTTTTTCCCTTTGGTTAGAAATCCTGGCCTACCTCAATTGGTCAACAGTTTTCAAGAGACAACATCAAATAGGCAGATCATGAGAAACAAATGAATAGTGATATTATCTTTAGAGATGGAGCATTATTTACACAGTGAGAAGTGAGTGATTTGATAGACATTCGACTCCCTCCTTTGTCCACATCTTTTCAGAGATTCTTTCTTACTATGATATTCTTATCTCTGAACCACCCAAAGTAGTGACAATGACCACAAAGGCCCCCCTTCTCTCAGATAGTGCTCCTCAAATCTGTGGTGTTGGCAAGTCGAGTTGAGAGCAGCACCACTTCTGAACATCACCAGACTCGGCATTTCTTTTCTGGATTCATGTATGAGTTCTTGCGGCAGTGAAAGGCTTCTGAAAACTCAAGGGAGTTCTGTAAAGTCCCAATAATCCTGTGACACAAACCAAAAGAGTCACGTCAGTCAGCATTTAGCACTCAAGTCCAAACCTTAAGGGGGCTCTAATGAGTTTCCAACTTAGGCCCATTGAGTGAATTTGCAATTTGCAACTTAAAGGAAACAAAGGTCTCACTTATAGCAGGAATGGAGAGGATCCAAATAAGGGATCAGGAGAAAAAAAAAACTATAATAAAGTAAAAATCAAAATCAACAGGCAACTATAAATCAGAGACACACTGGGGCGTTGGCGGGGGGAGGGAAGAAGGTAGAAGGATGAAAACAAGGGTGGGAAGAACACAAGGGACCGAGACCATGGTGACAGGTCATGGGTGGGAATTTCACGGGGACTATAACCAAGATGAAAATGCATACATTGCACAAAAATGAAAAATGATGTAAAAATATGTAAAATAATTTAAAATAAATAGAGAAAAATAACTTAAAAAAATAAAAGGAAATAAAGAACTGGGTGGAATGAGTCTATTCCCACCATTAACAGAGTTTTTAATGGCAAGGTAACAAAGCACAGGAGTGAAGAGCACGGATTTTAAAGACAGACTCTGTGGTTTGCGTCCTGGTTATGAGTGGTATTTCCTTAGCCTCTCTGTGCCTGTTTTCTGTAAAATGCATAGAATAATAGTACTTACCTCTTAAGATTGTCATGGGGAGTTAATTTACCAACTACATGTGTTTCAAATTTGGAACTGCAGTTATTATAGGAAGAGTTTGGTCAAAGAATAAAATCCTGATTTTTCACTCTGTCTTGGAAGGGCTCACACGATAACTTAAAAAATAGACTTTAAATAGATATTTGTTGATTTGACTTAATAGGGAAGATAACAAATTATTTTTTTTCCAAAAGAACTCCATAGATATCAGCTATTAGACTCAGTCTGAATAACTGGAAAGGGCAGTTATTCAGGGCAAAATGCCAATTTCTTCTTATCTCTGACCCCAATGGGCAAAAACAACACTGTCCACCCACTATCGGCACCAAGCAGCATCTGAGGGGAGAGACAGGTCAGGACAGCGATGCAGAGGTTTTCCCGTCAATCCCGAAACAGTGCCTTCCCTTCTTTGCCCCCTGGGGCTACCCCACCCACCCACCCACCTTGGATGGGAGGGAGGGGCTGAGAGACAAGCTGACTGCAGTGGAGGAGGCCCAGGAGCTCTCCGGACATGACACCCTCTCTGCCTTCCAAACCTCTCGCCACTCAGTAGTCAGTGTGAGCTTTTAAACTTAAATCAAATCCCATAATCCTCTTACTTATAACCTCTCAGGAGGTTGAATGAAACTCAGACTTGACTCCATGATCTCTGAAATCCTGGTGGCTCCACACTAGCTCCCCGATGCCTCATGGTTTGAGCCTCTTCCTGTTTCTCATGAGCGCCAAACTGCACTGATCTACTTGCCATACTTCAGACCGCCCAAGCCCTTTCGTCTTCAGGGCTTGCTGCTCCTACTGATCCTACTGTCTGGAAAGTAACTTCCCAGTTTCTAAATGGCCAATTCCTTCTCTGCCTTCACACCTCTGCTTCAACATACCTCCTTCTAGGTATTCTCAAAATAATGACCAGATTAGTTTCTCCCAGTTTGTCTGGCCCTATCCTAGCACTTATTACAATGTGCAATGATTTGTTCTCTTTTACTTCCTATCATTCTCCCTACATTGTAATTGTTCTATATACTCTGCTCCCGGCTGCACCCCAGAGCCCAGCACCGTGCTTTGCATACTGCAGGACACCTTGCAAATGGGATGAATGTGCCTGTTGCCTGCCACAGTACTGACATATATGGGAGTAATAGTGCAAGAAAAAGCTTTCTCGTGTTTTTACTATTTACTTGCTACCATGGAACAACTAGTAGAGAAAGAAATTTCCTTTCTCTAGCCCCACATTCCAGGAAAGAAAGATCCTTATCGAATTTCTTAAAGTCTGATTTCCTAATGTGTCACCAGTGACATCTCTCAGTCCTCTCCACCACAACTGCCCTGTCCTTCAATGAGGCTGCAGTTTTTTGCAGTATGTTTTTCAGATATGTAGAGAAGTCTTAAAGATGAAAGGAATCTTCCCAGTCTGGGAATGGGGTGTGGAGGTGAGGTGGGGGCTAAAGCTTGGGAATTTGCATGTTAGTTCACTTGAGAAGACTGGACTGCCCGAGTTAAGAAGGGCCCAGTAATGGCAGGTTGTGTGAATGACAGGGACAGGTGTTTACTCTGAGTAAGGCCTCTGTGCCTCTGATAGGATGTCAGGCAGCTATCAGGAGCCTAAACATTAAGAAGAGTCATTCCTGAGCCCTTTGACAAAGTTCACTGGGAGGGAATGGAGTCCCTTGACTTCAGCTGGAGCACTTGCCACTGTAAGGATGTCAGCTGACCATGCAGGCTGCAGATGGATGCAAGTTCCTAATTTCTGGGCCCGTGTAATGCCTCTGTGTTCTCATATAACTTTTAAAAGAGACACACTGAAAAGTACTGAATTAAATTTCTCATCTTCTGGCTTAAGGTAGGCATTTAGAGCTTGAATTAATTTTGCTATAATAATAATAATAATGTGTCATTACTTATATCTGAAAGTGTAAGAACACATTCACTTGATACATGGTCAAGGTGACCACACACACACACACACACACACACACACACACACAAACGAATAAAAACATTTACTCATCAGGGATTGATATTGGTCTTTAGTCTTTTAGACTGAAGGCTCTGACACTGAGCCAGAGAGGAGCTATGATTCATCTAATCCAAAAGCCTCCCCTATTCAGAATATTTTCTACACTGGCTGACACAGTCATCAAAGCAGCCTGGGTGATCCTCAAACTGAGGCCTGAGCTCCTGGATGGGCAGGGAAAGCATTTGAATCTTTGAACGGAAGAGTTGCTCTTTTTGTTTTTGTTTTATTAACATTTGTTCAAAGGTTTGTGAACAGATGTAATCATATGGGAAAAGTGCTTCAATATAAATGTTCAAACCCATGACTTAATTCTACATTTGTTATAAAAACATTAAAGAAATTAAAAAAAAAAAACCTCAGTACAAAAAAGTCTTCACAAACACCACACCGATGCAGCAGAGCAACATCCAACTTGAGATGCACTTAGCTCCTCATCTCACCCATCTCTTCCACCCAAAGCCTGCACTTAGATAATTTGATTCTGGATAATTAGGTCAACAACTTACTAGGGCTTCACTTATTTTCCTAGGTCTCTAATTAGTGTTTGGTGGCTTATCATGTCAAATCTTTGAATAGATGATAGAAATAATCTATTTCAAAAAGTGGATATATTATTAATAAAAATGAATCTTCTCTAAGAGCAGGATCATAGTTCATTAATATCACATAGAATACTTACACAAACTTCATGTTATATGAAAACTAGGTAGTTTGTGTTCACAATAACAAGAGAATAACGAGACTTTTATTACTTCTAAAAGTGACTTACTTGAAATTTTTATCTCATTGTATGAAAGTTTATTGTATTACCACTATTTATTCCCTTGACAAACAATCATGTGTATTAAAAAATGCCAAAGAGAAGGGTGTTGAACACCATGTGGCCAAGAATAGCCTTTATATGCTGTAACATATCTGCCTGCTGCTGCATGCGATTTATTGGATGTTTGAATAACTAAATGAGTCTTTTGCAATTATTGGTCTCCTGATAAATTTTTGTTATCTCTTATAAATGAATCACTAATCTAGTAAGGTTAACTAGTTTCATTTTTGAATAAATGAATCAATTTTTATCATTAACTAATGCTCATGACTCTTTTAAAGTTATGCTGATCAGCCTAAGTTTCACTATCCAGTCACAAAGAAATAAAAGCCTGAATAGATTTGTAGGTATGGGCTAAAGATTAACAACTGCCAACAGGAATTCTACCAGGCTCACACAAATCCACACTGACATTTACAGAATATCAGAAACCAATGCTAATATTTAAGGTAAATGGAGGTAACATCAGTATTTCAAAGAGTGCTTAGCCTATAGACACTAGATCATGGAGTAATAAGGGACAAAATAACCATATTATTTGAAAATGCCTACCCAAAACACAGAAAGAATATTCATCCAAAAGTAATTGAAATTAAGTGTGGAAAATATTTCTTGCATTATTATTGGTATTAGTTTTGTAAAGTGCCCTTTTATTCAGACTGGAAGATTATAATTATAATCTGACTGGAAGATTATATCAAGTAAACTAAGCGTTAAATTATCACAGTAACTATGCATGTACACTGGTATCATTTTATCTATTGGGGGCTTGCTTTAAAATATTATCAAATTCTTATATATTATATAGAAATATTACATCTGAATAACTTTAGAAGCACCTATATAGATTATATAGAAAATATTATAACAACCATTCCATAAAGACACTGTATATGGCTAATTAGATTTCAAAAGAAGTCATTCAAATTGTAGTTTCAAATTCTAGAATACCAAGAGGAAATGTTCTTAATTTTGATACTCAAATTTTCAAAGTTTACTTTAAAGTACATGAGACTTTATGTACATAAGTTAGAAAGAAGAAAAAGCTTAAACCTAACAATGCTTTTCTAAATTCAGCTTAATATCACATAACATTTGCCACTTATTTTTATGCTGTAGTTTTTTAAACATAAATTTATACAAATGTTTCTACATAAACCATTATGCAAATTTGTAATAGCAACTCACTGTCTATTCGTTTTTAAGTTTCTTTGAAAAAATGTTTTACTTTGTACAGACAGGAAGCAGTCTGTTTCCAAAACTAAATGTAACCTCAACCTTTTGCCAAGGAAATCCCTTTACCTCCAGAGAAAATAATAATTTCCTTGACAAAAGGTTGGCATTCCATTTACCCTTTTAAAACAACAACAATAACACATACTTCTCTTATTATGAATGAAAAACAGAGGCATCTTTTTGGGTCAGAACAAAGAAAATGAAAGTTATAATTTTATGTATTAACAAAATATTAAGTGCAGTTTAAAATTAGAGAAAGGAAAAAGTTACCTACGTACCTAATATCACTTTACCAGGGAAGAGTTACTGGTATTCTGAACTATGCTGACATAACAAAGGAGCAAAAATAAGCCCTACACTGTCTACTAATATGGAATATTGCAAGATCCATACACTCTGTTCGCTCGAATTCATGTTCTGTTCATCTCTCTAACCTAAAGATAATCCTAGTATTAATTTTCAAACATATATGGAATAGGGGTTTCATATACTTAACATTAATCCTTTTAGCAACTTTGATGATAATTTAATCCTCATTTTATAGATCAAGAAATTGAGACACAGAGGTTAAGTAACAGCTTGTCTACTACAGAGTACAGAGACATGTGTGGAACACCAGGGTTTTTTTACTTAAAGCTTGTTTACTTTTGTACCATATAAGTGTAAGGATATATTTATGAGCTAATATGAATGCAGAATGGGACAGTTATAGGCAGGTAATGAAGTACCAGGAAAGAAAAGTAAAGAAAGAGAGAAAATGCCTAATATTAAACAAAATGAAAAGTCAAGAAGCATCATCACTGGTGGTTCTGTAGTGCAGAAATAAATAGCCTCACACACTATAACTTTGACGATTTTCACTAAACTAATAAACAGCGTATCTAATTGTCACAACAATAGTTTGTCATAAAAAAACCTAGTGTAGATTTTGTTCAGGATACTGTGCTATTAAGGCAGGAAGGTAGGAAATGTATTTTAAACAGAGAAATGTTAATGCAGTGGTTAAGATAAAAATATTAATACACAAGAGACAAATTTTAGCTATCAAAAAATTAATTACTTCGCAACCTTTCATTCTCCAAAGACATCATATGTGCCAGGTATTAAAATTATACTGAAATTCACCTAGCTTTCAATGGAGACATGCTTTTGTTCAGGAAGATGTGCAGGGTGAAGCTTTGACAAAATAGATTGTTATGGTGATTTGTGTTAGCTTGTCTGCTACCCTCAGATTTATGTTTTCATGTCTTAACTTCTGAAGTCTTCAGTACGGAAAAAGACAACTTTTAAACATTAAAACTAAAATGTACTTAGATAAACCATAATGAGAACTGACCCAGTGACTTTTGTTGCTCCTTACCCCAAATGTAGCTAATTTGGATATCTAACAAGACTAAATTTAGCTTGAATTATACACCTTAGAGACATATAGTAAACAGTTGTTAAAAGAATGAATTTTGAAAGAATGGTTAAGGCAACTACTAAATGATAAAGATGACCATAATGATTGTGGAAAAAAACTGAATAAAATCTTTCATTTTTAAAGGCACTATTTTATTATTTCATAACGGAGTGTGGTTTTTCTCCAGGAGTCAATGATCTGGGCAGGCCTTTTAAAATTCAGCCCATTAGTTCTCTTTTGTTCTCAAATTATGTTTTCCTACCAGTCAACAAAATGTATAATTTGTTTTTCAGACTATTTTGCCTGTGAGGTATTGTTGATCAGCAAATCAGTAATTAAAAGTTTTGTAGCCAGGGAAGCACTAGGAATTAAAAGCTCAGTCCTAAAAAGGGTGCACCAGGAGCTAGGATCTCTCATTCAAACTTAGGTCAGAGTGACTCTCAAGCCAGTGTTCTCTGAGATTTTATGATTTAGGAAGGGCTTTAGATAACTTCTAGCTCACTTTTCTACTTTGTAGAATATCTTTCTCCAGCATTCTACTTACTTATTAATTTATTTAACTTATTAAAGGTTGTTGGTTTACATCATTGTTTATATTTTGGGAATAGAGGATCCCTCCTTCATGTGTTATTACCATAGTTATTCTCCACCAAAGCATCCGTAGTCCACTGCCACAGTCCACTGTACTCCCTCCCTGTTTTGTTTTTGCCCCTACCCCCTTCTGGATTCATGAGTTCTATAATCAGCTTTCAAGGGTTAGATTTTAAAGTTTGGTTTTATCTGACCCTTCTCTAGCATTCTTGTTGGGCTCTTCTATGACATATGCTTCAAGCTACTCTCTCCTGGAGTTTTGGGGATAATATTATACCATGTTGGACAACCTCTAGTTTGTGCCAACTTTAAATAGAGCTGCCATTTTGAGGCAACATCTTTGTTGGGCTCCATCAAGTATTTAGCCTGTCATGTATATCCTGAAGATAATAGCAGCCAAGAGCTCTGCTTGTGTAAACATGATATTCACCTTGATATGTTCTATTGATCCTATCTGTGAGCTTCAGAAACAAAAACAAAAAATGCAAATTTTATAGAATCAGAGTTGGAAAAGGCCAAATTCCAAGTAAGAAAGTGATGGAGCCAATACTGGAGCACCCTGACTGCTGCTCAAACTCACGCACCTGAAATTGCCTGGACTGTGCACATCTGTCTTAATGGAGTTGACAGCATACTCTGGCCTGTAGGTCCCACACCACACCTAGGGATTAGAATAGAAAAAGGAAAGCAGTGTTCAATTTAGGATTATTTGTTGGGGTAGGATAAGGGAAAAGCAGGCTTCCTATTGCAAAAACAAAATTGGAACTCTGCCTTCCTCAACCATTTGCTCTTTAAATAATGTTCAATGACAGGCAACCAGGAACATAATTATAATTAATGTGATATGACAATCTGTTACACAGAAATGGAAGTCAAAGGCTCTGCCACAATTGATTAAAACAAGAAAACTCAGCATGCAATATCTAACTGACTATGAAATTACAACTCAAAACAATTTTCGTACCTATCAGTCAAGAAAGATACAATACCTGGGCGAAGTTCAAGAAGAACAGTTGTTTGTGATTTAGGTTAAGTCCAGGAAGTAATTTTTCTTCACCATTTTTTTTGACATAATTTTGATAGGCCTAGAAAAGTTAATGAAATGGAAATGTGAGGTTTATAATTTCCAAGTTTACATATAAATCTATGCAAAATATCAAGTAACCAAGTAATTAACCTTTATATCAGAATCATAGTAATATATTTAGGAATTGCAACATACAACTATTTCATAGATTAGAAAGCAAACTAGAATTTACTTACAAATGCTCTGAAAAGAACAGGATACTGATTACCAGATAATAAGAGCTTCACACAAGTCAGATGTTCAGTAAATGACAGGTGAATGAATGAATAACTTAAATAAGTGATGAAAAACTTATCTAAGTGTTGTTCTATGGGTAAGTGAGTCCAGTTAGTTAGTGGAAAGGATGCTAAGGGAGTATGTCGTTGCTATATTTAGCTTAGTTACTACTGATTGTAACTCTTAGTTACTTACTCTTAGTAAAATAGATTCAAGTCAGACTGTTTAATTCTTGCCAAAAGTCAAGGAAATCTCTTAAGATCTCTGAGACTTAGTATCTTACGATTTTAATAAGGATGAGCAATTATTTCAGCCCCCTGAAGATAGGGAAAATAGCCTGAATCCCAGTTACATTAGGAAGAGGAATTTAGGTTATTTGCATGTCTGAAGTTCTTGATTTTTAAGGATTTATGGAGACTACCAAAAATGTAGTTTTCCTTTATTAAATGTATATAAGAAAGGAATTGATAACAAACCTTTTGAGCTGTGTTACTTCCAATTTAATAGAAAAGAAGATGATAAATTAGCAGAAAGCATATTTCATTTCTTCCTGCTTGCCACTGACATAGATATATTAAATCTCTACTATACAAAGATATTGATGTTTCTTCTAGTGGTGATGTGGAGAAGACTTGAGCCTGCTCCTTCTTAGGAAGCTCATAATCTAGCAGGGGATAAGGCACTGCCCAATATTTCATGCATTTGTAGAAAATACAATAAAATATTTGCACAATTATAGTTTGATCCATTATTAAAATTGTGTACTTGTTCATGGTGAGGCTCTCATTGGAAGTACCATCAACCCAAATTTTGGCTGGATTGTTACAGCAGCGATTCTCCATCTGACTGTATATTAGAACCACCTTGAGATTATTTAGAGTGCCAGTGCCTTCAACTTCCAGGTAAAATGGAGTTAAAAGAACTGGATTTATCCTGCCCACTGAAACAACCAAGCAATGGGCAAAATATCTGAAACAGTGGTTTGTATAATAACAGAAATCTGGCAAAAAGGCAAGAGATCTCTGTGAGATGAGTATCAAGTAAGATGACCCCAAAGAATGCTCCAGCTTATTTTTGATATACTCTTCTGGGCATAAGAGTTTGGAATACTACAAAGCTACATGCTGGAATTAAATCACTCAGTCCCTCACTCTGTCATTGTAACTGGAACTTTAGTTAATATCATGCCTGTTGTTTATGTTAATATGCTTCACCTGATGTGAAACTGTAGGTCTTGTTGAGTACACTGATCAATGACTGCAACAATTCTTTTTATGGGATATTTTTTCTTAAAAAATTATTTCAGTGATCATTTCTTGAAAAATGTTGTACCCTGTGTGGAACCTGCATATCTCCTCATTCCTGTTGCTATAACAATCTATGTTTTATATTCTCTTTCCAAGATTCTTAGAAGCTTATAATAGACTGGCATTCAGCTCAATCTGTATTGCCTCTTTCAGTTAGCATATTTACAACCCCCATCAACTTGTATATTTTCCATTTATCATTTATCATTTACATATATGCTTCTTTGGCAAAAGGCTTTAAACGAATACTTGAATATGACAAATATATATTACAATCAATGAGGTAGGAAGAAAATAGTATTACTCACTCTGTATGCTTGACCAATACCTCCATTATCAGCAATATTTTCTCCCAGGGTATTAATTCCATTGAGCTATTAAAAAAAAAGATGCTTAAAGATCCTTAACTGTATTTGGATTGTTAAGAAAACATCAGTAATTACCTCAGTATTGAACATATTCAAAACTTGTCAAGAGAATACAAATGACATACGTGCTGTCCTCCTGCTAGGTCCCAGGAGAAGTTTCCATACTGGTACACCATGCATTGGGATTGGTCTTTAAAGTTATTTGCAGACTGTTGAGTCCACCAGTCAACAAGATCTCCATCCTTGTTAAAATTTCTGCCTGTAAAATATATATATTATATAATATATACATACTATATAACATATATATATATGTAAAATGGGAGCTCGTTACATGAAGTATTACAATAAACTATCTGTAATTCAAGGGCAAGGACTGAAATACCACAGTGAGAGAACTTTGGACAGGTGATAAGGAAACTGCTACCTGTTCCCATCCATAGTTGACTGCCAGGCCTTCTTTGCTGATATGCACTAGTATTAATTGAGATATTCTACCCACTAAGCTCCTGACTTCTCAGTTAAGGCTACCAAAGAAATCAGGATTAGCCTCATGCCTTGTTTCTGATGGATGGTTTTCACAAGAACCAAGTCTGTTTAGTTTGATGTTTTGAGACTATAGGAACATTAATATTTTTATTCTGGTATTTATTCATATCTCTATCACTCATGAGACAGTTGAGCTGTTTCCCTTTATTTCAAAAGTAAAGAAAAGTTGCCTTTCTTCCTGGAGCATTTCTGCCTACCTGAAATTATACTGATCCCTTTTTGAGCTGCAGCAGGAATTATGTAAGTCAAATGTTTTGACACTAAATTGTATCATCTTTTAAATAGTTATCTGTGATGTAAGAAAACAAACTACCTGAACTCACCTCCTGGTTCCACCAGTTCCTAGCTCTGGCACTTTGAGCAAACATAAAAGTATGTGCCTCCATTTTTCCTCTTTTGAGAATGGAAATAGTATTAGGACCTACTTGTGGAGATTATTGTGTTGCTTAATTGGGTCAACTGACACATATTAAGCTCTTTTTTAAACTGTAGCTTTCCTGTCTCCCTTTCTTTCTGTCTCTAGAAAGCTGGGTGTAGACTTAATCATTTTCTCTCTGATTCTCTTCTTATTTTCTTTCCACTTGCAAGCTAATCTTTGTCATATCTTTACTTCTTTACCTCCTCATATGTTTACTTCTAGTCTTATATTTCACTGAGACTCTAAATTTATTTGTTATTTCAGTTACCATATAAACATTTAAATGTCTAACTGTTTTTATGCCCTTGACTAGATATCAATAATAGGTATAAGAAAGCCAAAAGCAGGCAGAAGTCCTGGTACAAACACTTAAAGTGCCCTCTGGGCACCTTGCTTTTTGATTTCACATCTGCTTTTAAGACATGGACCTGCTCTTTAAAAGTCTAAGGAGATAAGATATGAACAATTATGAAATAAGAACAAGTGTTATCATTGGTGTAACAAATACTACAATTTTTCCTCAATGTGAATATTTGTTTAATTCACTATTAGAAATTTCTGATTTAAAAAGAATATTAAATGTATGGTGATTGTTAGGCCTATGATACACTGATGAATGAGTTTTTGTACTGTTAAATTATAACTCAATCAACTTTATTTGGATATATCTCTGTCAAGGAAAGTGTCACTAGACTTTACCATTGTCATCAAAGCCATGGGTGATTTCATGACCAATGACCATGCCGATGCCACCGTAGTTCAATGAGTTAGACTGCTGGGCACTGAAGAAGGGGGGCTGCAGAATGCCAGCTGGGAAAACTGCAAGGGAAGAAGATGGTTAAGATGAATTGTGGCATTATTTTGTGACAGCAAGGCTGGGGTTGGCTTCTTGCCTTCTAAGCTGTTTTCCAATATGTCAGTTTCACTTAATTATATACAAAAATGTTCTCTGATAGAAAGGAATTTAGTCCTTTTATTATTGATGGTGACAAAGAGTTCATCCCTAAGTGGGGATGATTTATAGTAACAACTCACTTTACAATCTATTGTTTTTTCTACTATAAGGAGTTTAAAACAAAGGATAATTATCTTCTTTCAGAGTGTCTTTTCTGCTCTTGTCAATATTTGAGAAAAAATAGTTGCTTAATAAAACAAGTATTACTTTTTGAAGTTTTTTTTTTTTTAACATTTTGCCCAGTTCATTAGCTTACTAAACTGCAACTGAACTCAAAGGTATGCCCAATCACACAACCCTACTTTATTTATTTTTCTTTTTAAAAATTTTTAAATTTTTAAAAATTTTTTTTACATCGTGGTTCATTTTTAAACAAGTTTTGCTTTCCCCCACCTCCTCAGGTGTAGTCCCTATGGAATTTCCTTCACCAATGCACCCGGGCACCATCACCTCAGTCCCCTGTGCTCCTCCCTCCCTCCCTCTGATCCCTCTCCCTCCTCCTCCCCTGCAGGATGTCTCTGATTTATAATTCTCTGTTTTTGCTTTGTTGTGTTTTGTACTGTTATTATTTTTTTACACTGATGTCTTATCTTGTTCCCCATTCCTGCTATAAGTGAAACCATCCTATATTTTTCTTCTTCCTCTGGCTTATTTCACTGAACATAATTCCTTCTAGCTCCATCCACATTGCTGCAAATGGCTGTAATTATTTATTTATGGTTGTTCCCTATTATTTTCATGTTTTTTTTTCACCCCCTACACCTCAAATATTAACACTTTGAGAGAAAAGTTTTGTGTGTGGGCATATATTTGTTTATTTGTTTGCTTGATTTTGAGCCCACTTGGTTTTTTTTTTTTTGTTGTTGTTGTTTGTTTTTAGTTCATCATCTTCAGCATGTAAAACTACAACAGTGCCTGGAACATTTTAGGTATTCAGGAACTATGTTGAATAAAGGAATAACCAATGGGAAATGAATGAATTTCTAACTATGCTGTCCTAAAGACTTGTGATTTTTTTAAAGATATATTTATTTATGCATACAAGAGTGCGGCGGGGCGGGGGGGGGGGCGGGGGGGCGGGGTGAGAGGATTCACCAGAGACTGAGTGGCAATAGAATAGGCAGACTGACTCAAATACACTGCTGAGGGGAGCAGCAGGCAAGACAGGAGAGGTCTGCTGCCCCATGTGGGTAGCTCCCTGGCCAGCCAGGGATCGAACTTGTGTTGCAGAGGCTGTGGAGAGCTTCATAGGTGGCGTCTTAACCCCTTGCGCCACCAGGGAGGCCCAACACTTGTAATTTTTATGTCTCCCTGACAGCTGTATTAACTTGCTAACTTTCTCACTTGGATGTCTTGCAACCTCTTTCAATTTCACGTGTTCTAGTTTAATTAGAAAGTCAGGCCATATGCCATCCTTCTCGTAGCATCCCTTCTGTATCTCCTCCTACAGGTCTGTCTTTAAATTTATTTTTTTTAATTATAATTTTGGGGTTACATTTTTACTCTTCCAGATGTGCACATGCTTCACTTACCCATGACCAAATCTTCCCTTCCTTCCCCTAGTCCCTCTTTTCCCCTAGTAACCAGTACATTTTTACTAAGCCTAAGATTTGTTTTGCTGTAATTTGCAAAGATGTATTTGTTGACACAATTTCAATGGCAAAGGAAACAGAAGCAAAAATAAACAAGTGGCACTACATCAAACTGAAAAGTGTTTGTACATCAAAAGAAACCATCACAAAAATAAAAAAGCAGTCTATGGAATGAGATAAGATATTTACACACCATACATCTGACCAGAGACTAATTCTAAAATATACAAAGTATGTGTACAATCCCCCACCAGTCTTACTGCCACCATCCTACTGCACATTCTCATTCCTTGCCTCAAGAATTTCTTAACTTCCTAAATGGTTTCCCCTCTTTCTGTCTCACAAGATTATAATCTATTCTAATCGAATCCATCCTGCAGTAAGATTGAAGTCTAACTCTGGTTGTTATCACTACCTGCTATAAAACCTTAGATGGCTTATCAGTGCTCCTTAGCTAAACACAGTGACCACCTTCTTCCTGACATTTGTCTCCATAGCCCTCTGCTTCTTCACCTCATTTTCCCCTCCTCTTTCCTCACAGTAATTTTACCTTTCATGTTTTAAAAGTCTTGTATCCACTGAGTGACTGCAACATTATATTCTCTGATTGAAATAAAATCTTCAGTATCAACACCTATCACATGCAAAATCCTAGGCCATTGCTATGTGAGAAACCAAGATTATAAGAGAAGGGCCCTGACCTTAGGAAATTTAAGATCTGGTTAGCACCGAGTAGCATATGTTGTTTCTTTGTTTTTCAGGTGGGCTTATTATGCCATCTAATCTTGCATGAGTTTCAGGGATAAATATTAGATGTTACACTGGACGATTTAAGAGCCCTCCAGACCCTTAAAAATATCTATAAAGAGGCTGTAACATTCAAAATAACAAAATAATTAAAAAAAAAATAGGTACTTTGCCCTTGGAGCATTTTGATGAAAGTTTTACCTCACATGTAGCTGTCTGAGCTATCAACAGTGCCAAGAAATTATTTTTAGCTTAGAGGATAAAAATTATGTGCAGTACTTTATTAACTTAAAGTGAACACTATCTCCCACACTATGTACTTTGATTAAAATCCACCCATTATATAAAATGCTCTTATGAAACGTGCTATCAAGACTAAACATTAACTGTAAAGATCCTGCTGCTCTAATTATACCCTGAGAGATGCCATTCTTCTGGCAAGTGATAAGATTTTATGGTTATATTAAATATTAGTCTTCAAGTTCAGCTTTTGTAAAAAATGACTTCTCCTTCTACTCTGCAGTGAGGATTTTCCCCATTAGTCTTACTGCTGTTACTAGTAGACCTCACTACTGTGGCTAATAAACCACTGTTTATTTGTACATTTTTTTATGTTCAAATTGTCAACAAAGAACTGTGTTCTGACTAAATTTACTAGTTAACTGAATAAGTCATTAGTCTACTAAACGAAAATACTGTTTCTCCTCCCCCCACTGCTCACTTCCTTGTCTTACTCTTTTTTTTTTTTTTTAAGACTACAAGGAAATCAATTTTAGAATCTTTAAAATAAAGTTCAAGCTTCCAACCAGGTAAAAAAATTTTTTTTTGATGGAAAAAGCAAAATGTACTTTTTATATTAAATGGAGTAACAACATGTTGGGAAACACCGACTCTTAACTTTTAAGACTGAAAGTAGGACTCCTAAGAGTAAGACAATTTTAGAAAATGTAACTATCTCAAGCTATTCACAGACAACTTAGACTGAATAAACAAAATAATCCATCAATTTCCTAAAATTGGAAAAGAAGAATGCGATAGTAGTAAGACTTTCCATCTGACTTGATCATTTCCTTGGACAAGACTTTAAGGTTTAAGATGATTGAACAATGCCTGGAATTTACAGAGAAACATTTACCAAAATATTCACATACAACCTTCTAACAGGTGTCTAAAACTTCATGGAACAAATGTGCAAGGAGTAGGAAGCAGTGAGTTTGAACACTTTCAGTACCTTGTTGTCTTGTCTTAGAAGTTGACTTTTTTTATTTATGTCAAATGATGCAGATAAATTAAAAATTGAAACTAGTCCACATGTATGAATTATGAACAAAAATGGTGGGAACTAAATTAAAAGTAGAAACTGTTAACATGAATAACTCCAAATGTGATAATAAAACAAGTTCTTTTTTACTATAATGTAAGAAGACCAGACTCATGGGAAATTGTACGTGATCTAAGGAACTTGGCATGAGGATGAGTGCATCCTTTCTGAGACATATGCTATTCTAGTTCTGTAATGCACACAAATCCATTAGAAAGTATGGCAAAAGTTATATCTCTACATATATACAAACACACACACCATGCATTTCTATCAAGAGGATGAATATTGGGGGTCTTCAATTATTTTTAGTTAAGACAATCCTCATTTTTGATGATTTAAATGAATTGTCAAAGAGAAAATACACACGTCAAAGATTTCTCCACCGGCGTGACACTTTCCTTTTTTCTGAACTGCTGTTATTAGCAGACAAGCGTGTGAAAAGAGGTGAACAATATTTCAGATTTCATATTTTCATCCAATGAATTTATCTGAAGAATCTTTAAGGTCTTACATGTTAAGAATGTGTATTGCAACCAATTCCTAATTATGTAGAGAATAATTGTCTACTTTGTGAAATGCTAAGCCACTTGTATCTTTTTTTTCCTCTTTCTGTTTGGTTATTTGGTATGAGGGTATTCAAAATGAAAACATTCCCAGGGCTTCTCTGATCAGGGAATCTCTGAGTTGGGTCAATTATGAGCCAGCTACTGGTAATTGGGGTTAATTCAGAATCAAACAAGGTCCTGTGTTGACTAAATTCTGAAGACCTGCCCTAGACAATGGTTGAAGGATAGAATGTCATAGTAGTCCTCCAGAGGTTCTGTGTAGCTCTTCATGTTGGGATGATAAGCACCCAGTCTGATAGGACACTCTGTCTTCCTTGAGATGGATTAAAATGAAGCTCTATCCCTAAGACTGTTCCTAAAGCAGAACTATAGTCCTAAGGTTGCTTCACTTAGTCTTGGGAGTCTGTTAAATGTAAATACTCTAGTTCAAGTCTGGAATGACCTAGATCTTGCACTGACAGAACTACTGCATATCAAAGAGGTCTTCAAAGCAGAGCCCCTCCAGAAGTAAAGGTAGTTTAAGAAAAGATCTGATTGGTTTCTAGGAATACATTCAGAGGAGGCCCTGCCTGGGTTCTGAGATGATCATGAAGCAGGCTCTAGTCTAGGTTTAGGTAATCATTTCACCAGCTGGAAAACAGTAGTCTAAACTTTGAGCAAACTGATTTTAACCTGGGTGCATATTCCTTACTTATTATCTGTAAGTTATAAAGACAACCGTTTTGTTTATATTATTCATTGTCATGTCATGCAAATGTATTAATGATTTACTCCAAAACAAAAGACTAGAGGAAAATGTAGATAACTTTTAAATTTAACTCTTCCTTGAACTGAAAAGCAATGGGAAAAGGCATAATCAAATGTAAAAATAAAAGTTATAATTTCTCTTATATTTTATTTTTTTAACCAATGGTAAAAATCTTACAGGATTTTTTCATTATTTTTAAATTAATTAGTAACAGAATTCAAGAAAAAAGAGATTCTGGGAAGATTCTGAGATGTTAAGAGAGTGGTTAAGAACAATCTTCTTGTTTCTTAACCACACTTACAAATTAAGAACTGTGTTGAGTGTACCTTTAGAAACTCGGTGAATGGTTTATTTAGAATATCTTTGATATTACTGAATTAGTTGGGTCTCTTTCTACATACTATAAATCTTTGGGGAAAAATTTTATATGATAGTTTAAGAGAATTTAAAGATGTCAATTTAATCCCAGGAAGAGAAAAAAATACATCTTACATTATCTCTTGGTTTTTCATTACATCATTCACTCACGTTATTACTTCTAATGCATATTTTTGTGATATTACATTTTTTTTTTTTTTTTGTGGGACCCTCGCCGGCGGCGGGGGAATGAACCAGCGCTGCAGAGGCTGCGGGTAGCCTCGCAGCCCAGCGCTCAACCGCTGCGCCACCGGGGGAGGCCCTTGTGATATTACTTTTAATTAACACATGATTTTTTCTCTTTTGATCAAAAAATGTTCAGTAAACACAACTTCGTACGGCTTGGCCTAACATAATTTTTAACTTTCTGAGTCCCATGAAGGCTTCTATGAATTCCCAGGAATACCGGATCTCTGAAAATCTGGATATTGGAAACTTAAACCACTTTAAGATGCTAATGCCTATAAAGTCTTAAGGTCCATAAACTTTACGGAGACAAAAGGGACTCTTAAAAAGTATTTAGAAATAAAATAAAAATACTTAGAGATAAGATAACTCATTCAGCTACAAATGAGAATATTATAAAAAATAAAATGACTTAGTGTGATTTGTACTAATTAGAAATTTTGCTATTTTAGGGAAAAAGGGGTCCTTGACAGATTTACTTCAAAGAAGTATATTAATCAATAATTCAGTCTCAGCTGTGAGTGGTATTATAAATTGGTCATGCAATCACTACAGATAGGGACTAATAGAAAATTATGTAGAAATAGACCTTACCTATCTGATTTCTGCCTGAAGAATAAAATGCATTAACTACAGCAGCTCCGCTTATCCACCTAGAGAAAACATAAGAACTTGTTACACATGATGCTGCATTATCTGATTCAATCTGATCACCATAATAAAAGCATTATTACCATATCTAGATGAATCTTAACATTCTCTTGAAATTGGATCAACAAATTAAAATTAACTCACTAGGCAAGAGAGCTCATTTGAAAGTATGTCTACTTTTTTTTTTAAGATTTATTTATTTATTTATACAAGAACCAGGGTACAGGCCAGATGCGCGGGAGGGTAAGAGGATTCACCAGAGACAGAGTGGGGAACAGAACAGGCAGACTGATGAAATACACTGCTGAGGGGAGCAGTGGGCGCAACAGGAGAGGTCTACGTGCCATGTGGGACCCTCGCCTGGCGGACGGGATCGAGCCTGCACTGAAGAGGCTGCAGACAGCTTCACAGCACGGTGCTCAACTGTCTGCACCACCAGGGGAGGCCAAGTATGTCTACTTCTTGAAAAATCAGAATATATCCAGGTCTGCCCTCTTTTATTAGCATTAATTTTTGCTAGGAGGTATCTGACAGCAGAAATCACATTCAAATATATCTCTTTGAAAATCATAATGGAAATGCTGCAATGCATTTAGCTTTATGTTCCTGATACTTGGTAACTATGCTGACAATTCTGGAGTAGTTGAAAGACTATTGAAGGATTTCAGATTTAATTACATTTAAATTTTTAAAAATTCTACAGAGAGCTTTTTTGGTATTTATTTATGAAATGCCATTGTTTTACATCCTTGTTATTATTTACATTTTAAAGGACAGATTTATTAGAAAAGGAAAAAGAATAAAAGAAGTGCCTACATAGACATAGGCAAGCAAGAGAGCGCTCTCCATCCTTGTTATTATTTTAACTGTACACAGGTGTGGTCACTGTGGCTATCCCAGCACAAAGCACCCACAATCCTCCATTGTGCACAGTCTTTTGGAACTAAGATACCCCTTGGAAGTTTGTTAGTTTGAATAATGTGCCTCTGATTATTGCCATTTAAAATAATTTTTTAAAATGCAACATTCCAGCTAATTGAGCAAAGGTAGAATTTTGCACAACTATAAAATGAATTCCATGTGGTTCTTAAGAAGAGTGGTCTGCTCGTGTATACCATGATATAGACACAGCATAGGATTTTATAACATACAATTTCTGGATGCAGAAGACTCTAGTGCAGTTGAAAAGATGAGAAAGTTGCATAAAAAACGCTGGCAAAAGTCTGAATAAGAAAATGGAAAGAAAGAGCCCCCCAACAATAACGACAATAATTCTAGGGCAATGTCATTCTGCTCAGATGTTATAAAGACTCATGCCAATAATCATTGTTAAGCACTTTTGAACAATAGGAGTAATATTCACAACTTAATAGATGATTACATATCTCCTTATACTCTGTGAAAAATCAACACTGACTTCATAAAGCCTCTTAAATATCAGCACATATGCATTCACTTAAGGCAATCATTTATTATCATCTAATGGCTTCATTGTAGTTATTCCACTTTCAAGGCAACAATTAGTGTGGCAATCATTATCCTACTCATAGAAAGAGTTTACAGTAATTAGTGCAATGAAGTTAAATCAGAACTGTTCCCAGACCTTTCTTTGCAGGGTAAGCAATACAAAGTCAGCTGCCCAAATCAGCATTTCAGCTACATTTTCAATAGCTATTGTGGGATGTCAGAGGTGAGTCCCATGTTGATCTCTAAAAATAACAGTAGTGGACCTCCCTGGTAGCGCAAGAGGTTAAGTCTCAGCACTATGAATCTATCGCAGGCCACTGCAGCATGAGATTGATCCCTGGCCAGGGAGCTAACCCACATGGTGCAGCAGACCTCTCTTGACTTGTTCGCTGCTCTCCTCAGCAGTGTATTTCAGTAGATCTGCCTGTTTTCCTCCCCACTCTGTCTGGTGAATCCTTTTACCGCCCCCCACACCTCTGGCCTGCACCCCAGCTCTTGCTGGGGTGAATAAATAAAAAAAAATCTGAGGGGGCACCACCTATGACAACTGTCTGTTAATTCCTAATGAAGTGTGGGTTTTACCTCCAATAACATGACTAAGACATCCACAAAAAAGATTTGACTTTTTCAAATTCAGGTAGCATTTCTGTGATTTTTCTTTAGGAAGGAAATCTGAAGCTGGAGGTTGTGTGTGGGTATGTGTGTGGGGAATGTCTCATCAGTTTGTTTTTTCTCTAGTTTGATGTTGTTTTCAATAGACAAAAACATTTTCAAACAGCACTGTGTGGCTGATATATCAATCCTCCCTAATTTCATCACAGCTGAGTCACCAATATTTTAATATTTCTTGCAGGCTGCTGACTACCAGCTTATAATTTTATTTATTTTAATTAAACTCCACTTGCTTCCCACATGAGTTGAGGTGACCCACAACAAAAACAAGTATTTGTAAACCCAGGGTTGTGAGAACAAATCAAGAGAGCAGAAACTATATAGTATAAGGAGATTTTGTATGTGTCCAATATATACAATTATATAAATAAAAATCAATGATCAGGAAAAATAATTTAATAGGATGATGTTGCTATATTCTCTAATTAGGAGTCAAGTTGATTCCAAGTCAAGTAGATACATTCTCATATTATGAGAATATAGGAACAGGAGTCAAGTTGATTCCAAGTTGCCTTGTAGGAGGGGCAATAGGAAATATATTCATACTGTCAGAAACACTGCCATTGCCAGTGACTTTAGGAAGGTATTTCTGGTGCATCCTCAACATTTTGGTAGGAAACACAGTAGCATATTTTATATACAAATAGCATATAATTATTAAATTTTTAATTGCTATGAAAGTTAATTTAACACATTCCCAGGTGTCAGTTACTTTAAATTTCAGTTTCTTGATGATGAACTTTGTATTTAGTGACAGCACTTGGTGCATGTATCTTTTTTAAAAAATAAATGTATCAGAGAGAGGAATTAGGTCTGTGAAATAATGTTTCAGTCAGCAACAGATGTCAGAAGTAGGGCATGAATGAAGTATATATTACCCATCTCATGTTTACTGCTTTTGTAAAAGGAAATGCCATACCTTCTGTTTTCATGCTGTCCTGTTCTTCTGTTACATTAAGTTAGAAGGGTTTAAGACCACATTTTGATTACTATTTATAACTTTCCAGCAGGGAGGGTTTTGCATGTTAAAATGTCCACTGTGAATGATATCTTCAAGAAAATAAGTAGCTAATTATAACCACAGAACACACAAATAAAATTAGAATGATGGTGTTTTGGTGCACAGAGCTCTAGTGTGTAGAGTGTGCTGTTACTTCCTGGAATTCTTTCTGGTTTATCCTCAGACCACCCATGAGTGATTTTCCTGTTTCAAAAGCACAGGGCATTCTGCCCCTAGGAATGATCAGAACTTTTGAAGTGCTGTGTGATCAGATAATTACATCTTCAGTAAAGTGAGGATAATAGTTGTAAGTTCAATGTCTAATATTTACGATCAAGCATGAAATAGCTCACCATATTATTGTAAAAGCTAAATTAAGGGCCTCCCCTGGTGATGCAGCAGTTAAGCGCTGGGCTGTGGGGCTGCCCGCACCCTCTGCAGCACCGGTTCTTCGATCCCCGGCTGCCAGCAAGGGTCCTGCGTGGTGAGACAGACATCTCCTGCCTTGCCCGCTGCTCCTCTCAACAGTGTATTTCATCAGTCTGCCTGTTCTGTTCCCCGCTCTGGCTCTGGTGAATTCTCTCACCCTCCCGCACTTCTGACTGTGCCCAGTGCTTGTATAGATAAATGGATAAATCTTTTTTTTTTTTTTTAAAAAAAAGCTAAATAACAAAAGCTCTAAATTTCTCGATTTGGATGCAGCTTCAAAGTTTGAGGGAGAGTTTCCATTTAAGGAACAAATACAGATTTGACCCTGAATATCAGCACAAAAAGAAGAAAATGCACAACAGAAGCAAAACCCAAGTGGAGACAATTCTTGCCCTAAAATAGTGGAGAGGCCTGATGATCTGAAAAGACCACTGGAAAGTCAGACACAAGCAACCTTCTGGGGCAAGTGTCTGCCTGAGAGTGAAGCAGATCCCACTGACTGATTTCTCTTCCTGCCTCCAATGATCTGTGCCTGTAGGAGTTGGGGGGTGGTGGTGGTGGGGCTATGTTATCCAAAGAGTGGAAAAGCAAGAGTTAACAAAACTTCACTTTTAATCTTGGAGACATAAATTCATAGGTATATATATTCTTGTTTGGAAGCATTCATGAGTAGAACAAAGACCAGCTTACAGGCAGCAGGGCCCTCAAAGCTGAAATAAGATGTGGATGGGAAATCACCCGACACACCCTTGGGAGGGGGACCAGGTGTTTCTCTTCTGTCTCTTATTACCCTGAAGAACCTAATGGTGAAATAAAAGTGCATGGGTATCATTTTTATAGCAGGGAAGAAAAGCAGAAGTTGACAGCCTGATTCTATAGCCTTTTGGATAAAATAAACCCACACTATTGCAAAAGTACCTAGAATAAAAAACTCTTTTACCCACTCGCGTGTGACTTTAAAACTTAAAACAACAAAATGTTTACTGCCTCTTTCCCTGAAAATGTTCAACTTCTCAGCATCTAGTGGTTTGGCTTCAAAGGAATTCCTTAAATATGATTTTCTCTGTTATTCTCAAGTACTCCTGGAAAGGAGAATTCTCATTTTTCTAATTGCAATAATCACTTTATTCTTGACATTAATTAATATCCTTATATCAAAGTTTCAAAGTTTTTTATATATGTCATTCATCTTTCAAAGTATCCATGTGAGACAGATAGATGGCACCTCCAATTTTTAGGTGCAGAAACTGAGTTACAACATGACTATCCAACTATTTCCTAATACATTTATGAACTATGAGAAACACCTGGGAAAAGAATATGTACACTAGGAGAAAGAGAACCCAAATATCTTCCAATTAAATGCCCTACTTCTAAGCTGTTGATCTGCAGGATACAGAAAAGTTCATTACAACAATGAATGCCATTGCCTTGCCAACCCCTTTAAAAATGAAAGTGTTTGGAGTTAAATTGCTTCACACTTTAGGATTTCCCCTTAATCTGGCAAGCTTCAGGAGGCTGGCCTCCACACCACCCTGAAGTCATTTTAGAAGATCTTTCATTACTGAACTATAATAACAACAGCTGCTATTTAATGAGCACCAAGTTATGTGCCAGGCACATTACACAATATACAACCCCATAAGGCAAAAGTAAATGTTGTTATCCTCTGTTTATAAAGGAATCATTGAGGCTCAGAGGTGCCATGTAGGTTTTCTAAGTTCACACAGCTAATAAGAGGCAGAGCAGAAATCTTACATCAAGTCTGCTCACTCCCTCCACCCTCTACCTCCTACCAGCCTCACCACCTCTGAGTCCACAGCTAAGCATTTTCCACTGTTCAAAGCATGTGATTTCTTTACCCAAATGCAAAAATCACAGTAGGCCCAAAGAATCTCATTGCATTGCTCACAATTGTTACATTTAAGAGCTGGTAACCTAGCTTAAGTGCTCTAAGCGGCTCACTAAATCTGAGAAGGGAGAGACAGGAGTCCAAGCCAGGCATTAAAATGAGAGAATCTACTTCCTTCAACATAAGACAATGGAAAGAGCTGCTCTTGTTTTCTCCTTGGAAGTCATTAGTCTGTTTGGTGTGTCTGGTTCATGTGTGTGATGTGACAAGTGTAGTTATTCCCACTTTGGGAGACCTATGGATGGATTTGTTTTCCCAAGTTCTTGGGATCTTGGGATTTTTCAGGAGACAACTGAAAGCTCTTCCATCTCATGTGATCCATCTTGACATGACAAGTCTTTGTCTGGCATGCTTTATATGGCAACTCTATAAAGGCAGGGATGTTTCATGCTTTGCTCTCTTTTATAAATTGTGGTAAGAATACTCACCATGAGATATATCCTCTTACATATGTTAAATGTACAATTTGTTATGCAGACTATAGGTACTGTACAATATGGTGGGTCTCTAGTTTATTATCTTGATTATGCGAAAGTGTATGCCTGTTGATTAATGACTTCTGATTTTGCACTCCCCTAGTTCCTGATCATGATTCTATTCTTTGATTTTATGAATGTGACTATCTTAGATACTTTATATAAGTGGAATCATGCAGTATTTGTCTTTCTGTACCTGGTTAATTTTATTTAAGCATGATGTCTTCGAGGTCCATCTATGTTGTAAGATTTTGCAAAATTTCTTTCCTTTTAAAGACTTAAGAGTATTCCACTGTATCATACACCATATTTTCTTTACCCACTTATCTTTCGATAGGCAGTTATTTCCACATTTTAGCAATTGTGAATGGAAGAGCTAGTAGCTCTTTAACATTCTGATTTCAAATCTTTTAGATATATACCCAGAAGTGGGTTGTTGAATTTTATTATTTCCACGAGGGACAAGCATACTCTTTAGCACACTGACTATAACATTTCGCATTCCCCCAACAGTGTGCAAAGATTCCCATTTTTCTACATCTCTGACAACACTTCTTTTTATGATGATAGCCCCTCTCATGGGAATGATGTGATACCTCATTGTGCTTTTAGTTTCCCTGATGATCACTATGTTGAGCATTTCTTCATATATTTCTACATATAATCTTTAGAGAAATACCTGTTCAAGTCCTTAGCCCATTTTTTAAATAGGGTTATTAGTTATTTTGCTTTTGAGTTGCAGGTGTTCCTTATACAGTTTGAAGACAAGCCCCTAATGATATATATGATCTGCAAACATTTTCTTTCATTTTACAGGTTCCCTCTTCATTCTCTTATTTCCACTGCTGTGCAGAATGTTTTTAGTATAATGTAATCCCATTTGCTTATTCCTCGTTTTGTTCTTCACTGTATCTCTTGGGCTAATAACAGTGTTGGGGACAGGATAGACAATATATAGTTAGGATTTGGTGTACTGATGGGTCTACTGAGCCCCACGAGTGCTGAGCCAGCTCATCCTGGAGAGGGAAGGCATGGCTTCCAGAAGGTGTGGCAACAGGAAGCTGTGTACCACACGGATTTTATCCTCCCAAGAGAGTGCATTGGTATTAAGATCTGGATTTCTTTTGCAAAGTTATCCCAGTTTAAAACTTCAACATTAAAATTATTTAGCACCCCACACTACCTCTCCTTCCTTCTCTGACGGCAAAGTGAAACAAAGCTAAACCCTTCTTGGGTGCTAATTGAAAGGCAAAAATGTTTCAATTGCTAAGATATGTTTTGTTTCTAACAAACACACTGCAAAACTGCAATGACCACTGATGTAAAAGATGGAAATCTAGAGAAATCTAAAATTTTCATCTATTACAACCTGTGCAGAACATGATATACTACCATAGGGAATTAAAGTGATTTGTCAAATTTAGTCTATTTGTTATTCATTCTTTTTGCCTGATGGTATTTGAACCAAATTATCTTTTTTTTATAGATCTTCCCCAAATTTTGAGACAATCATGGAGATTCATTTGAGCTGCAGGCCTTCAGCACTCTGCACACTCACCTTATATGGGTCTTATCCAATCCACCTGTGGGCCATTACATTTACCATGTAAGTCCTATATAACAATTTTCCTTTTTGATAACTAAGTTCATTGATAAAAGGCTTAATTTGAAAAAAGACTGGTTCTAGAGATATCACTGAAGGGGAAAATCAAATGGGATATTTGGGGAAGAAGAGAGAAACTTCCCTACCTCTCAAGCATAGATAGATTCTTCTCTTAAGTCACTTGATATAGAGCACCAAGGAAATATGTCCTGGCTCACAGTCAAGGCCACAGAATGCTGCAAGGAACCTAAAGATGTTATACAGTTTCGATCATTTTATAAAAAGGGAAACCGTATGACTTTTAAAAGGCCACAGTGGCAGAACTGGGACACAAAATAGTGTCAGTGACTCACTTTGGTGTCAAAATTGTGTCACTTCACAGGGTCTCAACCTTCTGCCATTTTTAGTAGTGTTGGCCTTTCAGGAAAAATCACATAGAGCCACTGCTGTGGGGTTGCCCGCTGCAGAAACATCCCTTATTTTAGGGGCTAAACACCATCCGGTTGGGGTTGATCAAAACAATAGCAAGCCTGAAGCCATGAAGCAGAGACAGACATGAGCCACCCATTTTGTTTTGCTTCTAGTGACTCCTAAGTGCTGACATGTTACTTCAAGGGAGTGTTTTACTAATAAGGCCTAATTGCTTTTTTAACAAAATACTGTCCTCGCACTTTGCTTAGTTATAATAGCACAAACCAAACTTCCTTTTGCCAATTTGTTGATCACCGGCCTCTTTCCCTAGACCGTGAGTGCTCAGGCCCAGGGCTGCGTCTTCTTCATGTCTTTATCCTCCACCGTGTCTAGCACGATGCTTTACACATTGAGTTGCTTGATGAGATCTTTATTAAATTGGCCACTGTCAATGGCAGTATTTTAATTTTGACACATAAGCTTAATTTTGATGCAGCAATGAAATAAGTCTTTGTAGTTTATGAAAAGTAGCTCCATGGCTCAACAGTCATGATTTACAGACACTGAGCCTTCCTGTCAAAACTATCTCACAGAAAGTTCTGTCCTGAGAAGCACAAAATAATATGTCTAAAAACAAGGAAAAGAATTCATTTAATTTTGTTCCTATACAATTTTTCTCTTTAGAGGCTTCTGTTTATTTTATAGACTCTAAGTAAATAATCATGCTCTGGAAGTAAATCATTTTTGACATATTTCTAAATAATTATGCCAAGGGATATTACATTCTCAGTTCAGCACCATTACCATCTGATACTCTGACATGTCTGAAATTCTTCACAAATCCACAGAAGAAATAATGTTTGAGATGATTTTGAAAACACATGCTAGGCACTCAGACTGCAGAGACCAAGACATTTCAGATTCAAGTCCCTGTCCTCTGCAGATGCTGACTGCTCAAATGGGCAGAAACAGGACCTTTTAGCCAAATGATTTAAGTGCTGGTGTGTCCTTGCAGACTCCCTGACCTTTTCAGTTTTTGAATTTGTGAAGCAGGGAGAGCAGCAGCAATGATGTTGTACCATCATCATCCATGTTGATGAAATGCTTAAATGTGACCATTTTTATTGATCTGCTGAGTTAACCTTATCGGCATTATACAAATTGGTTATTTTATCATCTGTTCACTTCCTAAATATTTTGGAAGATGGCCAGCTTCTGGTGACACAAATACATGGTTTCCATTTCAGAAAAGGGCTAGTCTAGCTAAATGTGACAAAATGTACAGGTGCTATGCACTGAAATGTATGAATGGTACATCATAGGCACAGGCAGAGAGAAACGTAATGGGGTGCTGTGAGGAAAGAGGTCCTACTGGTAATCTCAATCTGAGCCAAACCAGGTATAGATTTCTGTTAGATGAATGAAAGCAGAAAGGGTGGTTCAAGGTAAGAGACAAGGAGGAGGGAGAGATGATTCAATGGCTTGGAAGTGATTGCTAAGGCTTGAGCTTTGTGAAGGGAACTCTGGAGAGCTGGTGGAGGCATGGGAAGTGTTTTATAGGCTTCATGAGACAGGTAGCAGGAACACATAGAAAGGTTTTCATCAGCAAATAACATAATTCAATGTGTGTCAATAAAAGCTCCCTGGGCAGTAGTATGGAGAATAAGCTGAAGAAATGTGAGATGATTGGTAGTAAAATTAGAAAAAGTCCTGTAATAACTCTTGTGAACAATGACAAATGTATGGATTATAGGCAGTGAAAATGGAGACCACCCCCCGCCCCAATACCTGCTCCATGCCTATATAATACTTATCTAGCAACTTGTACATGGAAACACTAACTTTTAGATGGGGATTTGAAGTTAATATCACTTATTACAGAACTAGACCAGTCTAGGATGAGTCCCTGATTTCTATTTTTATAGCAATAAGGTAAAAGTTGTGGAAAATGTGAGAATATGGAAGAAAAAAATGATTAACTTTTGGTGAAAATGGTAAATATTATGCTTAGAGCATCAAATATCTACAGATATTTTCCTATGAAATATTTCATAGGTAGCTAGATGTTTGCGTCTGGAGCTCAGCTAACAGAACTAGATAAAATACAAATTTTCAGTGGTCATGAGGACAGTAGAAGAAACCAAGAAATATCCAAGTGAGAACATGTGGACTAAGAAAAAGTCCAGAAGTTTACTATTTAATTTACTAAATTTATTTAAATTAATTCCTACCTTGAAGATTGCATATGTAGTCATTTCTCTATAATACCCTACAACAGAACCCTACTATAAGCAATGGTTTTTCTCCTTACATATATTTGGTGTATGAATACTTATTTCTCTGTAAAACCTTAGGAGTGAGGTTCCTGACCAATTGAAAATATAATTCTGTGAGAGGCAACTAAAGACTATGAAGCCAAAGTAGAAGCAATAGCTGTTATCTGCCTGAGCATACACAGTGAGGGACTTAATGCTATATAAAAAAGTAAAAGAAATCATAACGGTGACTATTACTATTAAGCAGGTGCAAAATAAGTCAGGAATATTCACTACAAGACTCCTCAATAAAATATGAGGAACTTTTATTGTGCTGTATCCCATATAGTACTTACTAATGAACAGACACAATTACTGTCAAAAGTGCTTCTAATATTTCAGAAAATAAAACATATTTAAAATCTAAAGTGCCAAATTAAAGATATCACCTTGTTAAAAAAAATCCACAAAATTAAATATGAAGTATGATTCAATATAAAAAGAAATGACTAAACTCAGGGTGTCTCATTTGAAAGGGGTGGGGTACCCTGGTTCTCTCCCCAACCCTCTCTCAGCAGCTACACCAGAATCTGGATGGTGGCTCTGGGGAGTTCTAATACTAGTGCTAATCTCCCCAGGTGATTTTAATGTAAGAGTTTTGAACCCTTGTACTCGTATATAGGTAAATAGAGGGAAGACAGAAAATCCAGCCTCATATGGCAGAGAAGACCTTCTAAGTCATACTGCCCTCCTGAATACCAGCAGCTCATGGAAAGGATCCAAAAGAGTGTACTGAGTTATACATTCTAGTGAGCGGGCATTCATTAAAATATTGTATATAGGGCCTCCCTGGTGGCGCAAGGGGTTAAGATGCAACCTATGAAGTTATCCGCAGCCTCTGCAGCACAAGTTTGATCCCCAGCCAGGGAGCAACCCACATGGCGGAGCAGATCTCTCCTGTCTCGCTTGCTGCTCCCCTCAGCAGTGTATTTCAGTCAATCTGTCTGTTCTGTTTCCCACTCTATCTCTGGTGAATCCTCTCACCCCCCATACCTCTGGCCTGTACCCTAATTCTTATATGCATAAATAGGTGGATCTTTAAAAAATATATATATTGTATATAACTTGGGCTTTGGGTTACCTACCACAAAGAGAAAAAGACTAAAAATCAGCACACATAATGAAAAGGAATGAAAAGTGCAAACTACATATCAAAATGATTGTGGAACTCAGATCATATCAGCTTCAAAAGAAAATAACAAGCAATAATTCATCATTTTTAAAATTATGAAGAAATCTTCTGGTATTATATGGTTCCAGGTAATTAGAGCCATTTTAGAAAGAATCTTTGACAATGTTTGTCTGTAGATATTTTACACAGTGTTAGTAATTATTAAATATAAGTACATGTACATTCAAAGTTATAAGGAAAATATTCCAACTTATGAAACTTCTGATATTACAACTTTACCCACAGAGTATTCTTTTTGATGGCCTTTTGTAGATTTCTAAAGACATCATTTGATAACTGATCACAGCACCACCCATGAGTACCTATTGTCCTTTCGCTCCAGTATAACCCAGAGATCAGCAAAAGAAAGTTAAAGGTAGTTTAAGATTTCAAAATACTTCGTAGGATTGAAATGTGTTAATATTTCCACTAAAGAGTTGTGTCCAACTCATTCTTATTTTACTGAGAATAGAACAACCCTGTCTTCACAAAGCCCCACTGTACTTTGTACCTTCTTAGCACATTTCCCTCCTGGAGGTGTTAGGGGGAAAAGGATGTCCCAAAGCTAATCCCATACAGGCTTTGTGGACTCCACCCCCACCCCAGGTCAAAGCCAAAGACACTGGGAACTCCAAATCCCATCACCACCAAAGGGAAGGTGGCTGGGACCTGAGGGTGGGGTTAAGCAGCCAGGTCCAGCTCGCAGCGTCCGGCCAGCTCTGAGAGTGACTTTGGGTTTCCAGGTCGTCGGATCGGGTAGGACACATTAAAGACTTTATTTCCCTATTTTCTCCCTGAGTTGTACATTTTCCTTATTTCCTTTTCTCTTGTAAATAAACCTTTTATTAACCTTTTGTGTGTGTCTGTAGTAGAGTATTCATAAGTCCCTTTAAAGCGCGTGGGTGAGGACCCACAGCCAGGAACCCGTTTAATATCGGGGTTGCTCTATAACAGCTGCACAGTTGTTATATCATGTCTTGTCTATATTTCACTGTTTCAATGTCATGCAATATAATATAATTATAACCAAATATACCAATTATACCCAACAACACCGGGACTTATTCCAAAATATTAGGTTAGTTTATAGACAGACAAATGGAAAGAAGAATAAATGCAGGCAAAATGAAGCAAGCACTCACTCACTCATTGGTATTTTGTGTCATATACCACCCAAATTCAGTTAGTACAATTATTTTTCACTTGCTCACTCATTCATTAATTGTTTTAACTGAAAGCACTCCATGGTTTAGAGTCAGAAGGAGCAGTTCCTGCTGCCTAGGAGCTAAAAACTTAGTAAGAAAACAGCAATAGATGCTTGATGTGTACAAACAAGTGCACAAGCACATATGCTGATAAATATGTTAGACACAGCCATTTAATTAAAAAAATAAACACTAAACTAATAGCGTTAAGTACTAATGCCACTAATAAATACAGAGAGTAAGAAAGCTTGAAGGCTGTGATGAGAGCGATTCTGGTTACTCAGATTTGCTATCACAGGCTGAGGGAAATGTTATCTGGAGTCTTCTAGGTAGGAGATGGTATTGTAGGATGACTGATAGAAAACAGGTGTGTCTGTGTGTAGCCCAAAGTTCTGAGAACAATGAGGAAAGCCTCAGAGAAGGATTGAAGACCTCTGGGTCATCTAGGCTAAGGTGTTCCTGAAAACCTTGATCACAAACAAAATGGAGAGGACAGGCAATAATATAAGAAGAAATTAAAGAAATGAGATAGTTTCAGGGAACCCTAATAAAAAAAACATTGAATTTGGTTAAATTTCTGACCCATTGTTATATAATAATTGTTGATTCTCAATTGAAGGTAGACATTGCATTTTTACCATATTCTAGATCAGAGTCTTTCTCTTAAGTCAATAAAGGGGAGGGAAAAGGCCCAGTTCTGAACAAACATATTAGAAATTGAAATATACATACTCATCCTTGTCCACTTTTTCTCGAAGCTTCTTTAGTTGTTTATTTTGGCCGAACTTCAAATTTTGAATTATGTTTTCAAAGTATTCATCTTCCTTGTAGTTCAACTATATTATATAAAAGATTTTAGGAAAAAAACAATAAAACCAGTATGTTCAAAATTTTTGCTAAAAAGCATAGAGTTTTTCCATATATTTTATCAGTTAATAAAGCTAACAGAGAACATTTAAACTTACAAGGAAGGATTTGCAGTTAGCCCTCCATATACATAGATTCCACAGCTATGAATTTAACCAGCCATGGATGGAAAATACAGCATTATAGTTGAGTGCATAATGGTTGCATCTGTCATTTTTTTGTCTGTCATTATTCCCCAGACAATATAGTATAACAACTATGTACACAGAATTTACATTGCATTAGTTATTACAGGTACTTGAGAGATGATCTGAAGTATATGGGAGCATATTCAAATACTACACAATTTTATATAAGGGACTTGAATGTGTGTGTGTGTGTGTGTGTGTGTGTGTGTGTTGGGGGTCAGGATGTCCTGGAAGCAATCTTCCATGGTTAGCCTAGGTCTGTATTACAGGTCACTGCTGCTCTAGCTGTATCATCACCGTAATTAAGCAAATGAAATCAAGTATTAGACAATTCAGGCACTGTTCTAGGCACTTTATATGTTTTATATATAACCATGTAATGTTATATGTATAAATATATACTTATATATTATATTTCTATATATAAACAGAGGTTTGCTTGTGTGTGTGTATATATATAGTGTATATATTGTGTATATTGTGTTTTCAAAGTATTCATCTTCCATAATATATATATATATATATTGTGTATATTGTATATATATACACACACACACACACACACACAAAACACTATTTAATCTTATACCAGTCTTATAAACATGGTCTGTTATCACCACTTTAAAGTTGAGGAAAAGAGGCATACACAATAAAGTGACTGTCTATGGAGCTGAGATTCGAGGCCTTTTTACCTTGGAGTCTATGCTCTGACCAAGTTAGTGAGTAGTGGAGTGAAATTTGAACCCAAGCAACTTGGCTCTGAGGCTATGCTCTTGGCTACTAGACACTGCCATGCTGCAATCAGTTCCTTTAGAAGAAATAGTCAAGCTTTTCTGCAAATGCAAAGGGAGGCGAGGAGGTTGTTTACCAACCCTTAATGTTAGGCTAGCAATCAGCAGAGTAGAAATCACTGCCATCACTGGTCTGGGCAGGGATCACCTTATTGTCATAAGAGTTTCAGGTGTGATGACCCCAAGGTTAGCAAGAGGAGACCCAGCTGAGTCTGAAATCGATACTATATGGTGACTTTAACCAACTTTCTTCTCTTTTCATTACTACATTTCCAAAAAAGAGTAAGTTTCCCAATCTCAAATATTAGATTTTTTTTTTTAAATAGAGACAGCATAACCTGACTTAGCCAGAGGATGAATAATTAGAAAGTAGAGAAACCCGAAGAGCTGACTTTTCAGGTCTGTGAAAAATGGGAAAAGGAGCCTGCGGGCTGCCTGCTGAGCACACGTGGGTGTCTACCTTGGACGCTCTTAAAACGACGCGAGTTTACTCACTACTCTTAAAATGGGATATATGGAAACCAAAATAATAACAACCAAATACAAACCAAGCCAATAAAACAAAAGCTCAAGAACTAAAACAAACACACTTTTGGCTTCAGTGTTGAAAGACTTTACAAAATAAGACCCACGGCTTTAGAGCCTTCATGTAATGGCTGGCACCCCATGACAGAAATGTCACCACCACCACCCCCAGGCATCAAAGTCCTTGTAGGGACTTACCGCGAGGTATTCATCATTCAGTTTTTTATCATCTGAAATAATGTTATCAGGATAGCCGATTCTTTCTTTAATTGCTAAGGCCTATGAAAATTATAATATTGAAAGTGAGGATGATTACATAATTTTCACATGCAAACATTCTAATTTGCCCATGACTAGCACTTGAATAATTTGATCTATATAGTTGACAAAAAGAGTATCTAACGACTCGTAACCAGAGATCATTGCCATGGCTTCTTTCTGAGGTTCAAAATAAATAAAAAATAGAGCTAAAATTTAGCTTCTAGCACTCTATTTTCATAAGCTGCAGTTTTCCCAAGAAAACCAAAATGAAAACTGACAGGTCATTGTTCCACATGTATTATACTTTTCTCTGAAAGGCTTTTCTCTTCAGTTTTACAAGAGGAGTAATATTTAGAGCTTCTACTATAGCAGCTGTTAATTAGCTTACTGATTTGGCTGAAGAAATAGATACAGGCTTATAGATTTAATGCTCGAATTTCTCCTGAATATTGTTACTGGAGTTTTTACATTCTCCTTGAGTCTCCAAGGCCAGTGTACCAATTTTCCCCAAATTAAATGAATGATATTAACTAAAACAGTGGAAAACAGGCTTTTCCTAGTAATACCAGCTCATAGTAACCATTATCTCACTACCATTTCTAATTTCTATTATTTTAAAATGGTTTATTTTACCAATTTTTATGATTTCATTACTTGTTTACTACTTGCTACTTCTATTTTTCCTCAAAGATATTTGACTTGTTACTATCACATCACATTGCTCTTAAGTAATTTAATTAAATTTTTTTTCATGGGGAATTGAGTCTATATCTCTGAGTTATTTGGTTTGCCTTCAAATGCATGTGGATTTGTTACAAATCAGTTTCATAAATCCAGGGCTTCCCTGATGGATTAGACAGGACATGTATCACTAAGTTTCCTAGTAGATTTCCACACCATCAGCTCATTGCAAATTAGCTCCCTCTCAATGGCACTATATTTTAAAAAAGACATTTCCCCAAGTGTTCTGAGGGACACAAAGTCTCGAGAAATGAAAGGTACCACATAGAAAGGATTTATTGTCAATTCTTTGGGGGTAAATTCTATGACAAAAACATTAAGCAAGCTATTTTATTGTTGTCATAGAGTTTAAAATTAGGTAACTGTAAGTTCCAAGAAAAAAAAATAATTTGTTTATTCAATCCATGTTCAAGGATCCACCACCAGTTAGGTACTTTGTAAGGGGCTGAGGATTCAATGCTAGGCAATTACTTCAGCCCAGAGAGAGCTCATGTCTAGGCAGTGATAGGAATATCAACTATCTAATGGGATAATGTAGGATACCATAGAACCTTATCCAAGAGCAGGCAACCCAGTCTAAGGGGGATCAGGGAAGTCTGCCTTCCTGCAGAAAGTGTCTGTTACATGCTTTAATTCTCTTTTTACGGAACAACTTGAAAGCGTTTGTGACACCACTTTGGAAAATGATCTTTTAGAACAATCCACTGACTACATCAAATAGAATCAGTCACAGAGAGCTACAACATGAAAGGACAAAGGCAGTCTGGACTTCTCAGGACCTAGTTAGAGTGATGAAAAAAACAGTTGTTCCAAGGGGTGGTGGTGGGGGTCTTCAATTCTAGATGTAACCTACCCAGGGCTCTGTGAAAGCTGACATAGTCCTTCCATGTCATTTAACCCTGAAACAAAACTTGACTTCAGATGATTCTCTTACTATAAAAAGGTTTATGGACTCCTCCTGTGTCAGTTCAAAGAAAAGATCTTTGTACTTGCAGCCCTAACTACAGAACAATCAGCTAGCATGTGAATATTGCTCATAGAGCATATACAGTTTTCACTACATATTCTTTTGAGTTTGTACATAATTATCAGGATAAATGATCATAGTAAAGTTAAACCTAAGATTTCCTTAGTACTCTCACCTTTATCTTATGTAAGATATAAAAAGTTTCAATAAAAGGTACACAATGAGGACAGGAATAGGTATAGGAAAATCTCCTTCAACATCATCTTAACTATACATTAAACTATACTTGTAATATTCTAATAATATACCACTTTGCATATGCTTCAGCAAAAATTTAGTACTTTTTTCTTCCTAGTTCATCTAAAAACTAATAGGGCATGTTTTAAAAAATTTAACTGGAAATTTGCATAAAAAATTGAAGGGCTATTTTTAGCCATTGGTAGAAGACTTATAGATATGGTTCATAAAAGGAGGAAAAATATTAACCACTGATATTATCATTTAATTATTGTTCATATTAGAGTTTCTTTTCATATTCTGAAGTCTTTTCCTTAAAAGACTTTAAAAAAGGGAAAATTGTAAATCTTTCAAAGTTTAAACTGAACACAGCAAGTAAGAGCTGGATGGAAAGATATAATAAAAGATAAAACTCATAGGAAAAAAGTCTTTATTCAAAAACCATTCCTGGAAATATTATGCCTTGAAGGAGCTTATTTTTATTTTATGAAATCCTTGTGATTATATTTTTTCTAAACTTCCTTAAAAGTTAATCTTTTCTTATAAAAAATTTTTCTTTGACAGTTAGCCTGGCCTTGAATTTTACCTTTTCTTCAGCTTTCTTTTTGGTTTCTGCATCCATCCAAGTGAGGTCATCTAAAGTCTGAATGAAAACTTCCCGGATCTGTGCAATCAAATCCTCAACCTCAAACCAAAAGAACAGAAGACAAATTTAGGTCAGTAATTAATTTTTTATAACACAAATTTAAAAAAATAGAATGATGAACTGTCTTTATCCAAGTCAATAATATGCTCATGCATATAAATTATAGACAAACTTTTCTAAGCAAATGGATATACTTGGATAATTATATTTTTAAGCAACGCTGCTACTATAAACATGAATGACTAAATACATCTTAATATACACATTAGTAAAAAATCATCTTTGGGATAAAATGGTTTCCATTACCGTAAAAGAACATAAAATATAAGCTATCATTACCATGAGTAATTGAATTATGTATGAAGTAGTATTTTAATTGATTCTCTTACCAAATTTTTAAGTTCTGGTGTTTTCATTTCAGTACCAATGAATAATGGAGTACATTTATTACACTGCAATTAAGCCCTGGTTTACTTTTGAGGTTTTTAAGAAAACACTAATTCTTGGCCAACTTTGGCAATAACAGAGTTTATAAGTGACTACATCAATAGAACATGTGCCTGGGTGCTCTGAATATACTGTTTCTGGAAAATGGACATTTGGTCTTGGCTAAATCATACCAGCCTCAGAAACACAACACAACTCTTGGGTGAAGGAGACAGATTTATCAGACAGAAGAGCAAAATGTGATTCAGCATTTCCTTGCTAATTAATAAAATTTCAGCCAATTTTTGGACTATTGTAATTGCCCCTTGATGCAAACAGATAGCTGGTAGTATCAAACATCATTGTGCTGAAAACATTACCACATGTTTGCTCTGTCCAGCAAACGCTGCTTCTACATAAAGCCTTCCCGCTGCATTTTCCATATTCCCATTGACGTAGTTAGCACAACGTCTCCAAGTTGCTGTTTCAGATGTTGTGCCATAAATGGCCTATGGGAGAGAAACAGGAAATGATGTTTGAGGAGGAGTAGATGGCGGGAATGTGCTGACAGCACAAATCTCACAGGACGCTATTCTTTAGGTCTCCTAAGTTCTTACAATATTTATTGCTTCTCCTCACAAGGTATATTGTACTTGCCTATGACAAAATGTTGTCCAATTGTACTATTTACTTATATATAATTAGAAAATAAGGTATATTTTCAGTAGCATGTACCAGTAGAACTTTTGTACAAATGAATATTCTTCTGGACAATTTTGGAAAAATGTCCCCAAAATCAAACACACACACAAAAAAGACAGTTACCCACTGCATAAACATACAGGGGAAGTAATGCTCAATAAATGTAACAAGGAAGGAATCTGGTATACAAGAAAACACAATCCTCTTTTACTGTTTTAGCTCAACTTCATGTGTATAAATTTAAGTACCAATAAGGGGATTAACTTAGGTAAGCGATATATAGCAAAACACCATTTTTACATTATTTACTTTAAAAAATGTGTCTACATTTTCTCCAAAGGGTTAAAAATATTTCAGTCATTCAGAGAGTTATTTCCTTTCCATGATGCCAACCAACACTTTTGCTAGAATTTCTTCCTGAAACCCCATGCTCTCTCCCCTCACAACAGAACTAAAATGATGATTGTTTAAATCATATATATACATGTAATAAAAGGTCTTAAGGTTGTCTTCAGGTAAGTGCATTCTCAATGGATTGTCCATATCAATGTAGTCCAACTGTGTGTCTGACTAGTGTGCTATGATTACCTGAAAATCAAGTCACTTGAGATAGATAGCCCTGTAATTACTTTCAGCACAATAAAAAAGCAAGCCAGCATTCTTTCATGAACTGCTTAAATAATGAAACATCTCTTCTTCCAGGGCAATACAATCACGGTGCCACAGTAAACAATCATAGGACAGCAAAGCCCATGAAAATCGGCTTTCCTAGGCAACATAGTCTCAACACAGGAAAAATAACCAACATTTGACATTTTATCTCTTGGCAAAGTTCACCACATTCTAGCAGTGTACATGGCAAGACTTCATAACCATGTATCTCTTTATGATTTTAAGTCTTAAGAAAAGAGATTTTTTTTCACCTTGCGGAAAGCATTTCTGGACTCCTTGTAGTTTCGGCTGAGGCTGCTTACAAGATCCATTATGAACCGCCAGGACATTAAATTTTGAAGATCTCTGTATAAAAAAACCCACCACCCAGCAACAGAAAAGATGAGGCTGCAAAGCTTCTAAAGAGTGATATTAAATGTAAACTTTGAGGACATGGGCACTCTGACATACATACCTGGTACTATATCTGGTAAGAATGCCCTTAAGTTTGGTTAAATATTCAGGAGCATAAACAATCACATCTTCTTCATCTGTAATACTAATATTCACAGTTGACATGATTTCATTTATGAAAGTTAACCAGTTGAATACCTGGAAAAAAGCAGGCACAAAACACTCAGTAATTGTAGTTTTTGCTTCTTGATTCCCAGATTCAATTATGATTACTAGTCAGTTAGGTGTCAGTTGCATCACTATATAATTATCACAATGGTCAGCCTCATATTTATTTGGGATATTTTCTCCATGATTTCCATCTACTTTTGAATAAAAATTAATTTTGCAACATGATTATTCAGTTAGCAACATCAATCCAGCTATTTAAGAGCAACAGCAAAGCCTTTAAGCCTAGAGGAAATACAGCTACAAGTTAGGTTCATGTCATCTTTTTTAATCTATATAAGGAAAAAAAAAGAAAAAATAGCTTTAAAAATGTTTCCTTCGTGTATACAATTATTTAAATGAGTATAGTGTTTATCTTTTAAAAGTGGAATGCTACCAGTCCATTGAAGTGCCTCTCAGTGCAGAAAAAAGGCATACCATTGTCATAACAAAGGTACATATCCAATGACATTAAAATACATTTCAAAACTCAATATTGGGTCGATAGCTATACAGTTTTATACATCAGAAGCTAGATTTGGAGTTGCCAAAAGATGGAATCTTGCTTTCTATTATTCTTTAAATGAAAAATGTGGTTACTTAATCACCACTGAACATAGGCAAAAATAGAGAAAGCAATGAGTATGCAAATTTTGCTGAAATGCTACACTTCAGTGTTTGAAGATATTCAGGATTGCCAAATTCTTTATGGTTCTATATAAATATATGTATTTTTTCTATGTGTCTAAGTAACTTGGTATCTGTCTGTCTGTCTGTCTCTTACTATGTACAAGGTGTTAAATATGTTAATTTCCTTTAATGGGCTGAACTATTTTTTCAAAACATATTTATTAAACACTTACTATAATAACAATTTTAAATGAGAAATTCCTAGCTCAACAGTTTAGACCTTCAAAAACTCCTTGTTTACTTGTAATTAGTGTCAAAGAGAATTCCATTTTTGAATGTGGTAGTTTATAGATTTTCTCATGGATATTAATTCATTTTCTGATGTTTGCATCAACCAACTCACAAGAATAAATTGCTAGTCCCCAGAACAGATTATTAGATACCATCTAATGAATTACAATGAAGCAAAAAGATGTCAACTGCTGTTTATAAATAGAATCCATGAGACAGATTTTCTTCTGGTTTTTGGTGTTCTCTTTCTCTATTATGGCTCTGAACACTTCCATGGATGATGTTGATAAGAACATGGCAAATTCTATGAATAAATTATCTTTGTTAGGATTAAAAAAAACATTAGAAATCTAGTTTTTATTATTTGACTGACCCCAAAAGTTATATATAATAGTCTCTCAAGAGAATTTTCAGTTTTTAAGTTTTCCAAACCCTTTCCTAGAATAGTTTCTAATAGTATTGCGCAGCTGCCTTGAAGGAAATTTTATATTTGAAATTGATTCTAAATATAATGATTTCAAATAATTTTTTTTTCAGGTCTGGCAAGGAAATCAAATGGTCGGTGCCATTTAAATTCATTTTGAAGGTCAATTTATTGCAGTAAATAAGAAATCATTGAATTTTAACCAACCATAATTCAATGTTTTAACTTTAGAAATGAAATAATAAGAGAGCACATAGAACTTGCTACTTACCTTTCTATCAATCTCTAGTGTAAAGTTACCTTTGATCTGGGCTAATGTCATTTTGTTATAAAGAAGCATTGGATCATTTCGATCTTCAGGTTTAGTTGTAGCCTATGGATTTAAGTTGTTTTAATCATTATTTTAGAACTAAGAATTCTTTTAAAAAATATAACTCTATATGAGGGAAAACATGGGATAAGTGCAAAATAATTTAAGCTATATTCTGTACTTATAATTTATCTTGTCATGTCAAACAGCAAAGTTAAAGAGATTTTAAGTGTATTCAGTAACAATTTCAAGATTTGGCTGCCATTTCAAGTATAATTCTTTTCAAAAATCTTTTTATACTTTGAAAATTCCTTCCTTTTATGACGAATGTCTGGTTGACTTTTGACTGTAGCTGTTTCATATTATTACAACGTTCTTGAATATAGCCATATCCAATTTATCTCTCAAATACTTCACCTCCTCAACCACCACCACTTAGGGTCCCAGTTAAAATTCAACTGGGAAGTCCTCCCTTCCCCATAACATTTTCTGCAGGAAATTAAAGCAATAAGACATAAAAAGTTCCTAGCACAAAGCACAGTTAGTTTACAAGTTATTTAAGAATGGTAGCACTTCTACTTCTGCTACTGGCCTCCCATCCTGCTTAATCAGGTTGATGCTCAACACTCAACATTATCCAGTTGTATTTTGTTTCCACTGAATTAAACAAGAAGTTGCAGTAACAATTCCCCAACTAGTGACTGAAATGAGCATAAGGAACCATAAGTGAGAAAAGGCAAAGGTGAAAGTTTAAAAAAGGGAATTATTTCTCAGTGACTATCGCTCTAGCATCTCCTTATGTCACTTATTTATTCATTTATTTAGAAAATTATGTACTGAATATCTCTTGCATGCAACACCATGCATCTAAACACTGTTAGAGATACACAGGTGAGTCAAAGATGACTAAGACCCTACCCCAATCTTGAAGATTAATTCAGGAGGAAAATACTAGTAAAATGTGGTAAGAGGCTTATTAAAAATAGCATAATCTGGAACAGTGCAAGTGGTAAAAACCCAGGGCAATAAACTGTTCTTTTCTAGTAATTCTGCTTCCCAAACAGAACCACATGTAAAGCCATCAAGTCACCATTCATCCAGTTACAACTCCAACTAAGATTGGACATTTTTGATTTCATGCAGCCCCAGGACAGCTAAAAATGCACTTAAGGGTCTTCAGTCTCCAAGACTCTGATGTTAATGGCATGCAGGTAGGGATTTAGGAATGCAGGTGGCTCTTTGCCAAGTCACAGAGAGTTCTGTGGATCTTAGTCTGACCCTGGGTTCGGTTGATAACCTGGGTGCTGCTTGGACACAGAGTTCACTTGCCTCAGTCCACAGACCTGGTCATGGGGACAATACTGAAGAAAGTGCCAACTCAGACTCCTGGGGCTTATCTGGAACTAGAGGAAATTCAGGAAATACCCTTGGGCTTTGCTACTAAACAACTGCAGTCACATTTCCCCTATGCTCAGCAGGCTGCCATCTGAACTCGGTGATAGCACACTGCGACCATGTTAATGGGCTAGTACTTTTAGCAAAGGGATAGAGACAATCTATGATTACTTTAAACCTTGAAATAAAATAAGGTAAAATTGTACATATCAAAACCAACACAGTTTTGCTGAATAATTAGCAATCAAATTTGTCCTGAGCCTCACGAAGTGTAGTTAGAATTTTGATGTAGTACACTAATAATGGATAATTAATAAGTGTATGTAGTTTAATATTTGTCAAACTTGGTATGTCTCCTGAATATCGGTTTACTATAAAATTTTGCAGTTTCAAAGGTCCTCTTGAGGTCAATGATCCACTGCAGAGCTGTACAATTTTATCACTTGGTTAAGGAGCTATTTTACTGTTAAAATATGATAGAGAAAATAAAGGGGGAAAAAGTGGTTAACATTATTCAATGTATCAGAAAAAAATGCCTTTTACAATGGCAATTTCTTTTTCCAGCTCCATAATTTTATTCATTTCCTGAGAAATCTGGTTTTCATTGATGGTCAGTCCTCTTTCCTGACGAATCAATTTGGCCACAGAAATCATAAAATCCACATAGGCTGTGCAAGCCTGCAAGAAATAAGGAACAGTAAGTTACTGGCAAGCCTCCTAAATATTCATCACAGAGCATTAATTTAAAATTAATTTTCAATTCACTATCAATTTGTGCTAAAAGATAAAATACAACAGAAACCCTAATCCTTTCCTAAATCCTGGAAGAAATTACCTGCATAGATTCTTAGAAAGTCAATGTGTCTTTGAATTAGAGCAGAAGAGTAATGTATCACTTGGAAGGCAGAAAGTAATTCATAAGCATTTAGTTATGGAGGTGTTATAATTTTCAATTTTTAATCAAGTTATTTTATATTGCTTTCATAAGTATGCAGTCACAACACTTGGAAAGCAAGAACCTAGTATTTTTTTCTTAAATAAAAATAAATTCCTTTACCTAATTTCCCTTTCTCAGATTTATGAGTGTGTACGCATATATGTGTGTGCATATATATGTGTGTATATATATATATATATATATATATATATATATTCTTCGTGAAGAAATAACCATGACTCATATAATATTACTGAGACATCTTTATATCTATGTGCACTGTCCAAGCAGTATTTTTAAAATGTGTTTTTATAAGTTTCTCCACCATAAACCTGTGGATTTTCATTAATTCCGTAGCTGGTTACCACTGCTGTGAAATTTCACTCCAAGATACTATAGATTTGGATAAGCTATAAACTAGTTATACAATGGATCTTATGGCACTGGCCATGCTACTCATGCTGTCTGACAATGTCTGGGCCTGGGGGAAATTTCTGAAGTCAGAGAACTCCAGAGCTGGCTCCTGCTACTTCCTTTCATCTGCTTGTGGCAGTTATTGAAACCATGGAAATTTTCTATAAGCTTCAAAATAACACAATGAGTGTTGGCATCAATGCCAGTTTCGGCAATGCACACTTCAGTAGTTTGAGAGAAGTACTTTCTAACATGATTGATAATGAAATGGTTTCCAATATTTCTCCACGTCCTCCAATTTGTAATGCAGTTACCATGAGTAACACTGAGTTCTCTAACAAACCACGCTTGATAGAACTGATGGAACTGAGCCCGGTAGAAGTCCCCACTAGAGAAGGCCCTGAGGTGCCCCGGGAGGCGAAATGGTTGGAGAAAAACATACCACATACTGTCCCCACGGCACCGGGACCCCTTGGTTCTATATGGAAAATAGGAAGCCGCCCTGGACCTTACAATGCCTGCTTAGCTTTGTTTTAGTTACCTAGCTTGACTGCATAAATCACATTGTGTGTAGCACCTGTTTCTATTTTCTGAATAACATATATCACCTAGGGAAATAATGTAACCAAGTTAATGTAATCAAGTGACCAAGTTAATCATAGACTGGGAAAATTAAAAAAAGGACTGTGCACTGTTAATGATCATTAATAATTTCTGAAACAATGTAAAAATAAAATCAATCATGATTGCATGATGTAATGATCAAATGAAAAATTTCTGATGTATAAATAAAGCCCCGCTGAGGCTATCAGCAGATGTCTGCACCCTGATCAAGTGTCAGTGTCTCCTCACTACCTCATCTACCTCATTTCCCCCCTCGACTCATCCCTCCACTTCGCCGACGCCGTCTCATCCTTGCGGGGATCCTGACGCGACATTTTGCTGGAGCTGGCCTCCGGCAATCTTAAACAGAATTTATTTAAATATTCAAGAATGTTTATTATTTTCTATAATTTCAATAGAAAAAAATAAATTTCTATATAACTGTTTCATAGTTAAAAAGCATAACATTTGTTTATAAGAAATTCAGTGAGAAAAATGAACTATGAGTAAATATCTTAATATGTTACATCATGGGCAGAGAGATTTACCACATAATGTAGATGAAAGCAAAGTATACCATGTTTTTGGTTTTGTTTTTGTATATATATTAGATTTATTTTTTCTCTTTCGATAATATTGGTCTATAATATTGTGTATGATTTTGGGAAATCGTTTCCCACCTCCTCAGATATATGTCACCACCCCATCCCACCATCGAAGTACCCATAGTCCTTTACCATAGACTACTGGGCTCCCTGCCCCTTTGTTTCCCCATAATCTCCCCTCTGTAAAACCTTCCCTCCCCATAGCCTGTGCTCCCCATAGCCTAAATTCTGCAGTCATATTCTTAGGGTTTGTTTTGGTTTAATTTTGTCAGTTCCTTTTCCCCCCTCTATATTCTACATATAAGAGAAAGCACCTAGTATTTACCTTTCTCCTTATTACATCCTCCAATTCCATCCATCCTTTTGCAGAATTTATAAATGTCTTTTTCAAGTTCAGAGTGGCATCAACACCAGGAAATTGAGTACATATTCATGAACTTCAACCCATGGCTATTTAACCATTATTACTAATTAAATGACCTCAATTCAGTAAAATTTCTTCAAAATTCAATTTCCTAGCACCAGATTTATTATGAACAGATTAACAAGATTAGGGGAGCCACACCATATAAGTTTGGTGCCAATGGTCATGTTTCTCTGCTGCTAAGACTTGTTCACAGGGTAAATACAAAGGAAAGCAATATAGTGCTAACTTAACACCTTCAGCTTCACAAGTTATAGCCCTACTAAATTATTGTAAGTGAAAGATGCACACTTACATTTAATATGAACACAAAGGCACATCTAGTTTGCATAGACTCTCTAAAAGGATCAAATGTAAAACTAAGAAGTAGAAGAAAATATTCTATCAAATAAGAATGTAAGCAAAATGTGCAAAGTTATTATCAATTTGAAAGTCAAGAGGACAAGTTTAAGTAAGATTTAGATGCTAGCATTTTGTGACCTTTATTAAATGCTAAGTAAACAGTTCCCTAGGGAGAAGTCTCTCTCTTCTCAAGGACACCCTGTGATGCTGGAACTGTCTAGCTAGCATCGCTATCCATGGATCTGTCACTTAATAGAACAAACTATTTTTCAGCTGTGAGTTTGTGTTAAAAACTTAATCACTAAGAGACCAGAAATGAAAGGATGTTTTTATATATTTTTTTGCCATTCCATTCTTTTCCTATTAAATGGTAATTAGAACTCTTGTTTCACTTTGGAATTAACAAGTATGTCTGAATTCATATCTCACGGGACCAACTTTTATAAAGTACAAGCATGCAGTGTTTAGAATTAACTGTATTTCAAAGTATATAAATTCATCTTATTTAGCAGAGAATTGCTACTGGCTTTGAAAGAAATGGTAATTTAAATTTTGTAATATCAACCTACTGAGACTTTTTTCTTCTTTTTTACTCTGTGGGATGCTTTTTTAGTTAATGAGGTGAAAAAGTAATAACAATAACAAGAAGGCTCTTATTGCATTTTGTTGATTGTGCAAACTAGTCCTATGCCAGTATCTTTATCCTTCAGACGATAAAAGTTTGCATAAAGCAAGCACCAGACCTTTGGCTGATGCTTCTGGTCTGCTGAGCTGGTAAAGTTTTCCAGAAAACTAAAAGCATGTGACATCACCAGCTTCTGAGATGCATAAATACTTAATACAGCTATATGGAATATAAAACTTCCTTTAATGAGCCCCATTACCTGGTAACTATTCCAATGTGACTGATTAAAACATGTGTCTTAGTATCTTCATTATCTTTCCTGGCTTCCAAATTTATCTAGTTGCTATCTTAATCCTAGCTTACTGCTGCTCTTGAAACCTATTTACAAGATATGTTTCTACCATAAGGCTTTAATTTTCTTCCTTGAGATACTTCTAGATATATAAAATGCCAAATGATATTACTTATTCTGCTTTGGGGAGAAAGTAATCAACACATATTTTAATATCTGAACAGTACATTGGTAAGGATAGTTTGAAAATTGGAATTCATTTTTTTCTTTTTGGTTACCAAGAAAGCAATTAGTTACATTTTTTTGACAATCACAATCATAAGGTAGCTTAGTTGAAGCCTTGATATAATGAAGGCGAACGAGAAACCACCTAAACATTTACATATCCTTCCTTTAAAAATAAAATATGTTGGGCCCCGCTGATGCAAGGGGTTGAGTGCAGTGCTGTGAAGCTGTCTGCAGCCTCTGCAGCATGAGTTCGATCCCTGGCCAGCCCAGGGAGCTACCCACATGGCGCAGCAGATCTCTCCTTACTCGCCCACTTCTTCCCTCAGCAGTGTACTTTGGTCTATCTGCCTGTTCTGTTCCCCGCTCTGTCTCTGGTGAATCCTCTCACCTCCCACACCTCTGACCTGTACCCCAGTTCTTGTAATCATAAATAAATAAATCTTAAAAAAATAAAAATAAAACATGTTAAATCCTGACACTTGTCATAATAGTTCAAAAATGATAAATAGATATAAACAGTTGGGTAAAATCCACATACTCAGTTTTTAAATGACATACTATTAATAAGTTATTGACCAATAACCAGCAACACAAATGGCTACTCCATTTGTTTGGTTCATTTTACCGAACCAAACAATGGTATTCACAAACTGACTGTTCAGAAATTGGGATTCTTGGGCCTCCCCAGTGGTGCAGCGGTTGAGCGCTGGCTTGCGAAGCTGCCCACAGCCTCTGCAGCGCCGGTTCGATCCCCGGCCGCCGGGCGAGGGTCCCACATGGCACGCAGACCTCTCCTGCCGCCTGCTGCTCCCCTCAGCAGTGTATTTCGTTAGTCTGCCTGTTCTGTTCCCTGCTCTGGCTCTGGTGAATTCTCACACCCTCCCGCGCTTCTGACTGTACCCAGTGCTTGTATAAATAAATAAATAAATTAAAAAAAAATCATCATTAAAAAAAAAGAAATTGGGATTCTTAAAAAGAATCTTGGGAAAAAAGCTGAGATTTGTTGGAGCCTCCAAAGAGGAAGAGAGCAATGCCAGAGCAATGCCATTTGGTTACCATCTTCACACCTGAGTGTCTTTGTTAATGAGTAACAGCAAGACCCAAAGAGGATCAGAGAGTGAGTTCTCTGGTTAGACTGGCTGGCACTGGAGTACCTAAGAGCACCAGCAAACTATGAATTAGGGGGTTCCACTACTAAAGATTCTGTT